GTACCTACCGAACTGAGCTGAGTGTTGTTGTAATGAGTAATTGTATCCTAGCACCTTAGCACTAAGGTTAACCTGTGCATGTTGCTAATAGGAAGTCTCTAAGAGTATCTTATATTGTACCGCAGGTACTTATTTCCACCCTATATTAGAGTTTATATCATTACTAACATGTACTTAATTTACAATAGATATCACGTGACAGTAAGATATCACGTGACCGTGGTTTAGCGTCTAGTGAAGTGTTAAAAGGTTCCCTCACCTGTCACCAGTGTTCTGATCAGCTGACAGATCTTATCAGGTGTTAAATCTGGTTAGAGGCTGAAACTCTTATTTTACAATAATACTGACCACTAAAACCTTCTCTACGAGTCCGGTAAACATTTAACTAACTGTCAGAGTGTACCACTTGTCCCCACAAAACAGTTGTGTCATAATGTAACTAATAGCTATACTTACCGTTCTTCAAGAAATACCAAAAGTTGGACCAAGGTTACTTAGGTTACCTAAGCTACGGTTACGCGGAAGGTTATCATTGTGGACTACCTCCCTACATTGTGGAACCATGGTTTCTCCTTAGATATATTTTTTTTAACTACGGCATACAAACACAGGTATAATTTTAGGGTCAGTTCTGATTCCAAGCTTCCAATATTTGTGCTCTGTATAGAAATATAATATAATATATAGAAATATAAATCTAAAATCGCAGAATTTCAGACTTGTTGACAACTTAATAAAGTTGTTAAAGTTTAAACACATTTTATAACTTCACGGTTCCATGCGATGCTATATATACTACACTTCATGGCGAAATGGAGGGTGCAAGTTTGCAAATAATGGAATAGGACTTGACAAAGTTGCCAGACTTTCTAAAACTTGACATCTTAAATGTTCCCCTTTCACAGTAACATATACTGCGGGGTGGGCGACAATTGACCCCCCGACAATTGACCCCCCGACAATTGACCCCCCGACAATTGACCCCCGACAATTAACCCCCCGACAATTGACCCCCGACAATTGAACCCCCGACAATTGACCCCCCGACAATTGACCCCCCGACAATTGACCCCCCGACAATTGACCCCCGAAAATATAATTTAATACAATTAACCCTGACCCTGACCCTGACCCTGACCCTGACCCTGACCCTGACCCTGACCCTGACCCTGACCCTGACCCTGACCCTGACCCAGGACCCCGACCCTGACCCTGACCCTGACCCAGGAACAGCTGTCCCTGACCCTAACCCCAACCCTAACCCTAACCCTAACCCTAACCCTAACCCTAACCCTTACCCTAACCCTAACCCTAACCCTAACCCGATTAATTTACCCCAGTTTAATTACAATTGTCGGGGGGTCAATTGTCGTACTAAGCCCTAGATTTCGCGACAATTGACCCCAGTGTAATTACATAGAGGGTCAATTGTCGGGGGGTCAATTGTCGGGGGGTTAATTGTCGGGGGGTCAATTGTCGTACTAAACCCTAGATTTCGCGACAATTGACCCCAGTGTAATTACATAGGGGGTCAATTGTCGGGGGGTCAATTGTCGGGGGGTCAATTGTCGGGGGTCAATTGTCGCGGTACCATACTGCGTGCAATGTTGCGTGGTTAAAGTAGTGTAATGTTGCTTAGTAACGGCAGTGTAATGTTGCGTGGTTAAAGTAGTGTAATGTTGCTTAGTAACGGCAGTGTAATGTTGCGTGGTTAAAGTAGTGTAATGTTGCTTAGTAACGGCAGTGTAATGTTGCGTGGTTAAAGTAGTGTAATGTTGCTTAGTAACGGCAGTGTAATGTTGCGTGGTTAAAGTAGTGTAATGTTGCTTAGTAACGGCAGTGCAATGTTGCGTGGTTAAAGTAGTGTAATGTTGCTTAGTAACGGCAGTGCAATGTTGCGTGGTTAAAGTAGTGTAATGTTGCTTAGTAACGGCAGTGTAATGTTGCGTGGTTAAAGTAGTGTAATGTTGCTTAGTAACGGCAGTGTAATGTTGCGTGGTTAAAGTAGTGTAATGTTGCTTAGTAACGGCAGTGTAATGTTGCGTGGTTAAAGTAGTGTAATGTTGCTTAGTAACGGCAGTGTAATGTTGCGTGGTTAAAGTAGTGTAATGTTGCTTAGTAACGGCAGTGTAATGTTGCGTGGTTAAAGTAGTGTAATGTTGCTTAGTAACGGCAGTGTAATGTTGCGTGGTTAAAGTAGTGTAATGTTGCTTAGTAACGGCAGTGCAATGTTGCGTGGTTAAAGTAGTGTAATGTTGCTTAGTAACAGCAGTGCAATGTTGCGTGGTTAAAGTAGTGTAATGTTGCTTAGTAACGGCAGTGCAATGTTGCGTGGTTAAAGTACTGTAATGTTGCTTAGTAACGGCAGTGTAATGTTGCGTGGTTAAAGTACTGTAATGTTGCTTAGTAACGGCAGTGCAATGTTGCGTGGTTAAAGTACTGTAATGTTGCTTAGTAACAGCAGTGCAATGTTGCGTGGTTAAAGTACTGTAATGTTGCTTAGTAACGGCAGTGTAATGTTGCGTGGTTAAAGTAGTGTAATGTTGCTTAGTAACGGCAGTGTAATGTTGCGTGGTTAAATTAGTGTAATGTTGCTTAGTAACGGCAGTGTAATGTTGCGTGGTTAAAGTAGTGTAATGTTGCTTAGTAACGGCAGTGTAATGTTGCGTGGTTAAAGTAGTGTAATGTTGCTTAGTAACGGCAGTGTAATGTTGCGTGGTTAAAGTAGTGTAATGTTGCTTAGTAACGGCAGTGCAATGTTGCGTGGTTAAAGTAGTGTAATGTTGCTTAGTAACGGCAGTGTAATGTTGCGTGGTTAAAGTAGTGTAATGTTGCTTAGTAACGGCAGTGTAATGTTGCTTAGTAACGGCAGTGTAATGTTGCTTAGTAACGGCAGTGTAATGTTGCGTGGTTAAAGTAGTGTAATGTTGCTTAGTAACGGCAGTGTAATGTTGCGTGGTTAAAGTAGTGTAATGTTGCTTAGTAACGGCAATGTAATGTTGCGTGGTTAAAGTAGTGTAATGTTGCTTAGTAACGGCAGTGTAATGTTGCGTGGTTAAAGTAGTGTAATGTTGCTTAGTAACGGCAGTGTAATGTTGCGTGGTTAAAGTAGTGTAATGTTGCTTAGTAACGGCAGTGTAATGTTGCGTGGTTAAAGTAGTGTAATGTTGCTTAGTAACGGCAGTGTAATGTTGCGTGGTTAAAGTAGTGTAATGTTGCTTAGTAACGGCAGTGTAATGTTGCGTGGTTAAAGTAGTGTAATGTTGCTTAGTAACGGCAGTGTAATGTTGCGTGGTTAAAGTAGTGTAATGTTGCTTAGTAACGGCAGTGTAATGTTGCGTGGTTAAAGTATTGTAATGTTGCTTAGTAACGGCAGTGTAATGTTGCGTGGTTAAAGTAGTGTAATGTTGCTTAGTAACGGCAGTGTAATGTTGCGTGGTTAAAGTAGTGTAATGTTGCTTAGTAACGGCAGTGTAATGTTGCGTGGTTAAAGTAGTGTAATGTTGCTTAGTAACGGCAGTGTAATGTTGCGTGGTTAAAGTAGTGTAATGTTGCTTAGTAACGGCAGTGTAATGTTGCGTGGTTAAAGTACTGTAATGTTGCTTAGTAACGGCAGTGCAATGTTGCGTGGTTAAAGTAGTGTAATGTTGCTTAGTAACGGCAGTGTAATTTTGCGTGGTAACAGCGTCAGGAACCGGGATATGTTTTTTGTAAAGTTAACTACATGTCACTGGGGAGCTGGGTTAAATGTAGGATTTGACATGGTGTTGACACGATTGTTGACACACTGCTTCAGAAAGGCGGTGTTTTCTAGCGAGAAAATGTTATGCACTGGGAATTATTGCATGTATTACATGTAAGGGTAATATACTTACCTACTGTTGGGGAGGCAGGACAGTAATTACACGTGATGCCCATATAAGAAGATGTAATGTCACGTGACAGTCTGGCTCATTCTGTCTCCTGATTGGTTTAACGCTATCACGTGTTACACCGAACCTCATAACCCTGGAGCAGTATAAACCATGATACAAGGCTAACTAATCACGTGTGTTCCGACACCTTGTTTAACAGCTAATCATCATAATTGCACACCGCTACTGCACTGCTCACTACTGTACTTATAGCTATACAGTATACATACAGGGACTGGGCATGCCTCTTGTTCTGTACAACCCTGGAATTAGCTGACTCCCGGTTTAAATAGTGTACTGCTGCCATTAACGGTCTTTAAAGGGTTTAAAGTACTACCCCCTGCTCCTTCATCAAAACTTACACTATTGGTCCCCCCCAAATCATAGGTCAGTAAACGTAGCCTGGTAATGGAGATTGGAGGGTACAATTTGTCCCGATATATTACATCCAGTACTTAAATGTACAGTTCCCTGTTTAGGCAGTAAGATCCAATTAGGTATTTATGAGTTAAGTGATGATAGTTTAGTGGATATCTAGATATTATCGTGATCGTATCCTGATTGTATTAATTGAAATAAATGTGCTCTGATAACTCTTTAATGAGTAAAGCACATTGGCACGCCTTTTATCACTGTATAGGAGTAACTTTACTCAGTAACTGGGCAATTATACTCGTTACTCTCGGGTTATTATACTTGTTACTCTGCAGTTATTTATAGATATTAATCAACTAATGCCGTGTAAGATTGGTAACACAATATTGTACATTTTATCAGAAATTAGGATTTTGTCCAAGGATCCTCAATGTTACAATATCAATGTTACAACTGAGGCTGGTAACTTTATTTGAAGGAGTTCTTTACATCTGTTGACATGTTATGACTTATGTTACATTAAATCAATTTAACAGCTGTATTATATTAAATACTTGCCGACAAATTGTTCTCGAACATTATTTGAATAATTAAATCGGGTACTGATGGTAAATCCTGTAGTCGTCTATATAATGTGAGTGGAATGTTGGCAGACAATGAACAATGAACAATGGCAGAATGTTCACACTTTGTTAACTGTCATTATTTCAGAGAAACTAGCAGCTACTAGCAACGAGCTTAAGTCTCATCTGATGACTGTCGAGGAGGAATCGAAGAAATTGGTGGCAGAAAAACAAAAAACTGAGCAGCAGTATGTTTGTTTGTGTGTTTGTGTGTCTGTTTGAATGTATGTCGTCAAGATAATTCTCGATCACAGGTTTAATAACACACTAAAGCCATTGCCACGACAATTGGCTGTCACATTCCTTTTAGTTCTAAATCGCGTGCACTTTGCTTAAAAGTTTTTTTTATACTCAATTCTATCATTCTAAAACTATTAGATCATGCTTGTTATGCACAACTTTGATGTTTATTTATTTATTCAGAGACGTTTCTACCCATCAATCTATATGGATTATACTGTGATTGAACGTACTTATGCACATAATACATTCATACATATATTTCTAGTTTGTCTTAACAAGAAGTTGTATTCAGTTAGAATATTTCTTATCTTTACACTTTTAAGAAGATAGGAATATTGTTTTTGTGTGAGCCTATTCAGTAACAGGCAACAGATTACAATTCAGGCTACAGGAGGAAGAAAAGAAGGCTCAAGTTTTTGAAGAGGAGAAGAAGAAGTTGCTGCGATCCGCCACTGAGGCTCAGATAAATCTCGAGGTAATTGTTTTATGCTGATATGACGACATAGTCGAAAGTCGAAAATTCTGGCGGAAATTTTGAAAATCTGGATTCGACCTAAGGTAACGCGCCAAGTCATTGATAAGAATAAGTCGACGCAAAATAAGAACGCGGGATGGCCGGCCGGCCATGCCAATATGGCGCGCGCGCATGTTGCATGCGATATTATATCGTGATTCGCAATCGATCGATATGATCTTATGAGTATTGCTGAAAGCACAGTGTAAGGCATAATATGTATGATGTAATATCAGGATCGTTACATATCTCTGATGGGATCATAGATTGGACGCCCGGGGTCTGGGTATAATTTTTTAACCTAAGCCACATATGTGTGTATACGCTTCGGGCGCATTGTAATAAATTCAAAACACTGCATCTTACAATAACTGCTCTTATCCAGAATGAAATCTCGCCTGTTAAATATCCTACACCGTTTCCGGATATTCCCATGGAACAATCATTTTGAACCTTTAAGAATCCCAAGAATGCATATTGAAATAGAAACCCTAGTTAGACTAAGCCAAATTCAACGCGATAACACTTTATTTTTTTAAGTTTTGCCCATTTATGTCAATTAAATTTGGTTTTATGTCTTGTTTTTGAGTTTAATGAGTGTTTGGCTATATCAATTTTAGAAAGCATGCTATGCGCTTTGCTATGAAGCTGATGATTTTACAGGAAGTACACGCTAAAAAGATGGAGACTGAGCTCGAGCTGGGTAGAACTGCTGGCGTTTTGGAGGTAATCACGTGACCGGAGTTTTATTGTGTTATCAGAGTGGCTCATCTTGCTCTAACTTGCTACTGCTTTCTCATTCTTAGACTTTTAGAATCTTAGTTAAAACCACATGCTCACAGATTGAAACGAAAGAAAGGAAGAGGCTGGAGAAACGACTAAGATTAGCTGAAGATTCTCTCAAACGACTGGATCATGCGCTCAGAGATTCCGGACTTAATGTTTCTATCGATATTGAAGCAGATGTTGGCACACTGAAATGTAAGATCTCTCTAATGTCAAGGCTTAGTTTCGAATTATTGAACAATTACGTTGAGGGTTAGAGAACATTTACAGTTCAACACCCTGGATCGTTTCTGCTAATTAGTTACACCCGATAAGGGCTGGGTTGCAATCATCACTATGACTATGCTCTAACAGCCTAATAGTCGTAGTGATGATTGCGCTTTTAGTATCCCTACATTCCTTTCTTACTTAGCGCATCAGTCGTGAATTCATACAAAGTTCCAGGAGTTATTTATAGACAGCCTCTGGATCCGTCATCCATAGCCCTTGTCTAATTAACAAATTAGACTGACGGCCCCGAGTTAGTCCACAATAAAACCGACGCTACCAACTCTAAGGATTTTTGAAATAATATTCATTCTTCTACTAGCTGGTCGAATAATCCGACGCATTCTTTCTCAGCTTTCTTCGAGGATGCTGTAGCTGAAGCTGAACACCAAGCCAAGAAACATTTGCTCATGGAAGATGCAGTCAGGGCAAGGAAGGATTACGAGAAACGAACGTCGAAACATAATCCTGACTTTTTGGCTGCTAGGGTAAGATGAAGTTTTAAATTCATTTTGGGATGCATTTACAATAAATTCCATCATGTTTAAATAAATTGGGCCTCTAAATCATACTAAAATTAATGTATCTTAATCTTAGAAAGACAGACCGAATAAAACAAAACAGACCAGTAACAAATCAGAGTTGACATTTTTGGACGATTACAATTCACAACTCGCGTCACAAGATCGCGGCGAAGTCATACATAAACCAGTGGCTGATAATAGACCAGTTCCTCAACCACTAGATCCAGGAGAAGAAAACAAGGTCACCTTGTTCCGCTCACCCACACCAACCGACATTAAAAGTCGTACTGAGCAGCTGATGGAGAACCAGAACATGTTTCGGATTCTCCATCTGCAGGATTACCTGCGCCTCATAGATTACGACAAAGCAAAGTGCGAGGAGTACATCGTCCTGGACTACGTTACAGAAGAGGACACGATCCGTCCCAGATGGAGTAAGAGAGATGAACACGGGAACATAGTCCAACTGTTCACGTTGGAGGTTGAAGAGTTCCTCCTCAGTTTCCGGGCTCTGCTATACGGTTATACTCTTGAAGAGTCGCACTACAGAAAATTGTTCTCTGAAGGAACCTACGAGGTCTGCTACCCGGATAAGGTTGCGGAACAAAAAGAAACCAAAAATGAAAACGCGGAACCACGGTTATCTCCTGCCTTCAGGAGAGCTAGAGGTTCTGTTGTTAATCTGAGGGAACAGTACGAAGCGAAGGAAGCTGCTGTTGAGCAAGCTCCCGGGGTTCCTCCTGTCAAACCTCACAAGAACTTTAGACGTGTGAAAATAGAGGACCCAGCTCTGTACGAACCAAGTTATCCCGGATTTTACTACTTCGACCATCCCTTCTACTACGATCATCCGAGCAGAGCTGGGCTGGAAGACCAGACTGAAGAGGAGATCTTGAGATCTACAGTGAAGGAGCTGAGGGAGCTGTCATTGATAAACAAGGAGCACTCTGAGGCAGACCAGGACCAGATTATCACTGACCACAAGGAACTGAGACAGCGCTGTGGAAGTGTGTCCAATCTAGCAAGTTCATTTGAAACTGTGGAACTTGCTAACAAGCTTGAGATGCAAATTCATGAAAGACCAGGATCCTCCCGGGGGTACAAGCAGGATCCTACCTCTCGATACGACCCCAGATATCGGTATTACAGCGAGAACGAGCTGAAGCAGAAGATGGGAATTGATAGGGAGGAAGAGATGCTCGACCAAGAGACGCCAATAGAGACACCTGAGGAGTTGAACAAACGTCGAGGAAGTGTATCCAAGATGGCCAACTCTTTCGACTCAGTTGCACATCGTAACAAACTGGAGAGAACCGTAGAGTGTGATCCGCGAGCAAGAAGGGAGCTGGTTAAATATGAAGTTGATAACGGTTTCTTTGAGTACCCACTCTACCAAACTCGCCGAAACAAGGTCAAAGATCTCAGCTTAATCTACCAGGATGACGAAAGATTAGGATACCGACCTTCTAACACTCCGACTCGTAAGCAAAGAAGACACAGTGTCAATGATATGAGAGTTAGGTTTAAAGATGTTGAAGAGAGAAATTTCACCGGTTCAGAGGATGATATGGAAATGCTTAGAAGACAAAACAACAGTTTAGATGAGATGAAACGGCGCTTCAGATCTTACAAAGAAGATGTGGAAGAGGAGAGGCACGAAGAAAAGGATGAGAACGAAAAGGAAACTCCTGATTCACTTGACCTAGAGGAGAGCGAAGAAAACACTATCAGTCTCCGCAACTCAACTCTATCACCAGTAATGGTAGAAAAGTACAAGAAGAAGAATCAACGCTCTCGAATAAAATCAGGCTCTGACGCAAAGAAACTGACAGGAAGCCTTAGCATCGAACGAATGGCTAACGATTTCGAAAAACCCAATGACTCAGAAGAGAATGAAAAGGATGTGATAAGGGATCAGTGACGAGGACTCAGATACAGCCCTGAATCGCAGGTCGAGTATCAGCAACATAGTGCTCAGATGGGAGGAGGGTATGGAAGTGGAACCAGCACTTAAGGACCCTACGCCAGTGCCTCTGTACAGTGAGTCGGAGGAGGACTCTTCAGATGCAGAACGGAAGATGAGAGTCACTGACCGAGCTAAGTGGTATGTGGAGAGAAGAGAGTCTGAAGACAAGGAGTATGAGATGAAAATGAAGTGCGCTCCTCTCCTTGATGCTCCCACTCCTCAACCAGTCCCTCTCTACAACTCTACAGAAGAGGAGGAGGATCAACTGAAGATCAGACCCACCACACCTCAAGGAGTCTCCTGGGAGGAGCCTGCTGAAAGTTTTAACAGCCCAGATGTTGTGAGAAGGAGGGTGAGTGTGAGTGATATAGCACTGCAGTACGTCCTGAACAGAGAAGAGGAGATTGCAGCAGCCGAAGAGCTGGAGAGGTCTGAACCTCTACCAGACCTCCTCAGAAAGAGAACCTCAGTAGAGTTGTATAACTTGGAGGATGAGACCTGTACCAGGGACACCTTCACCGACACTAACCTGACTACAGAGGATCAGGGGTTCGGGTCGATCAGCATGCCGCTCATAGACAGGGCGGCAGTCCTGGAGGAGTTCCCGGAGTTTGAGAGGACGGAAGAAAATGAGAGCGGAAACGGACATTCTTTAGATTCCTCCAGTTCGGACTCTCGTAGTGGTTCTGAAAACGACGCTTTGTGACTGTACGACGGCGAGAAAACAGCGAGTAGAGAGGCCTTTGATTTCTATGGTGTTTTACCTTTCCTGTCACAGTCTGTGCTACTGAGACAAATCTTAGTTTTTGGGGTTTATATCCTGTATGTGTGCGCGGGGAGTTATTGTATTATAGTCGGCACGGGTGAAGTTATTTGTTTGAGTTAGGTAGTAGGTACTATACTGAGTGTAGATGGAAGTAGCATAGATTTATTGGTTATTATTTCCAGAATCATACATGTCTTTCTCACGAAATAGTTTTCATTCCACCGATGTAAATTTCGTAATATTATCAAGTAATTTAACACAAAACAGACAAGTAAACTGATATGTTTTATATATCCACTCAGAGGAATCTGCTGGGGCCAGTTGACGGAGCTGACGCCGTACAATCTGACTTAACTCTGAACTCTAAAGATTTAAAATGAACATAAACAGGCGGTCATTAAATCAAAATGAACTCGACCTTACAAAATTTACCCCCAGACTGATTTACTGTATAAGAAAATACCTGAATTAATTATTTTCTTGTTCGGCACAATCTGTTTTATATTTCATGTTAAAATTTTGATAAGTTTTTGTGAAGGACATGAAGCATACTGGCAAATTTTGATTGCTTGTGATTCTGTGTCTATATTATTGCTTTTGAAAGTACTCTGTCTCATTTTCATGATCAAATTAAACCAGCGTGAGAAGAAATAATGTGTCTGACAGTTCTAAATGAAATATATATGTAATGAGAATATTTTCTCACTAGCGACTGGCTCAAGACACCCCAAAATATTTACTTCTGACCTATGACAGCAATGATTCACTATTCGTTCACTACTCAGGAACATTTCGTCTTCATTCAGGAGGGTATCATCGTTCATCACCTCATGGATTCATATGTCATCATTAATCATACCTCTTAATTCCTCTCTGTGTCTCCACATCCCCATGCATCATGTACCCAACTCCACTTCATCCCTGTCACCGACTTCATAAAAATAGGACAGAAAAACTGATGAACTAAAAATGACAGAAAGGAGACCCACACTGAGACATTCTGCCATGGGAAACTTGACATAAATCTTAACCGATGTTATTTCAGCAAAACATGAAGAAGGTACAAGTGGACCCTCGTTTGATGGGAGACTCTCAGTCCACGGTAAGTCCATCCCACTCGCCAGAAAACCAGATGAGGCCGGAGGAGGAACCAGTCAAAATTAATGGAGATGCAACCCACGAGGAGTTGGCAGTAATTTCGGAGGCGGCTGCGGAGGTCGCGGCTGTTGAGAGTGATGCTGCCACTACTGTTCCTGAACAAGCTGCCCCAATTGAAGCTGCCCCAGTAGAAGAAGCTGCCCCAGTAGAAGAAGCTGCCCCAGTCGAAGCTGCCCCAGTCGAAGCTGCCCCAGTCGAAGCTGCCCCAGTTGAAGCTGCCCCAGTAGAAGAAGCAGCCCCAGTTGAAGCTGCCCCAGTCGAAGCTGCCCCAGTTGAAGCTGCTCCAGTTGTAGCTGCTCCAGTCGAAGCTGCCCCAGTCGAAGCTGCTCCAGTCGAAGAAGCTGCCCCAGTCGAAGCTGCCCCAGTTGAAGCTGCCCCAGTAGAAGAAGCAGCCCCAGTTGCAGCTGCCCCAGTTGAAGCTGCTCCAGTCGAAGCTGCCCCAGTTGCAGCTGCCCCAGTTGCAGCTGCCCCATTAGAAGAAGCTGCCCCAGTTGCAGCTGCCCCAGTAGAAGAAGCAGCCCCAGTTGCAGCTGCCCCAGTAGAAGAAGCAGCCCCAGTTGCAGCTGCCCCAGTTGAAGCTGCTCCAGTCGAAGCCGCCCCAGTTGCAGCTGCCCCAGTTGCAGCTGCCCCATTAGAAGAAGCTGCTCCAGTTGCAGCTGCCCCAGTTGAAGCTGCCCCAGTTGAAGCTGCCCCAGTTGCAGCTGCCCCAGTAGAAGAAGCAGCCCCAGTTGAAGCTGCCCCAGTTGCAGCTGCCCCAGTTGAAGCTGCCCCAGTAGAAGAAGCAGCCCCAGTTGCAGCTGCCCCAGTTGAAGCTGCTCCAGTCGAAGCTGCCCCAGTAGAAGAAGCTGCCCCAGTTGCAGCTGCCCCAGTTGAAGCTGCCCCAGTTGAAGCTGCCCCAGTTGCAGCCGCCCCAGTAGAAGAAGCAGCCCCAGTTGCAGCTGCCCCAGTTGCAGCTGCCCCAGTAGAAGAAGCTGCCCCAGTCGAAGCTGCCCCAGTTGAAGCTGCCCCAGTAGAAGAAGCAGCCCCAGTTGCAGCTGCCCCAGTTGAAGCTGCTCCAGTCGAAGCTGCCCCAGTTGCAGCTGCCCCAGTTGCAGCTGCCCCAGTAGAAGAAGCTGCCCCAGTTGCAGCTGCTCCAGTTGAAGCTGCCCCAGTTGAAGCTGCCCCAGTTGCAGCTGCCCCAGTAGAAGAAGCAGCCCCAGTTGCAGCTGCCCCAGTTGAAGCTGCCCCAGTTGCAGCTGCCCCAGTTGCAGCTGCCCCAGTAGAAGAAGCTGCCCCAGTTGCAGCTGCCCCAGTAGAAGAAGCTGCCCCAGTTGAACCTGTCACAGCCGAATCTTCGCCGTCAGTCGTACCGGAACCAGTCAGTACTGAAGTCAAAACAGAAGCACCTCTTTCAGAATCTCAATGTGTCGAACAAGGGAGTTAGAAAAACCATTTTCTTAGGAACTTATCACCCAACTTATTTAACATTTAGTTTTAGGTTAACTTTGTTTTCATTTTGTTTTATATACGCAATGCTGTCGATTGAAGACTCGTGTCAACATTTGGATACAGAGATTATGCGGGTGTTTGGAAAATTGAGCCGCTTAATTTCTACCACAGAACTTTTTGAGAGGCTGACGGGCTCGATTTTGATTCAAGGTGACCTAACTAGTGGGACCATTCGAAGTGCTTGTACTTACTAGACTATTACAATATGTTACTGTTAGGATTTTAACATCATTCCTCATATTTCGGACAAATCACCCATTCGATATTGGGTGTTTAAATTTACGTTTTCGAGTGAAGATAATTTCAGTTTGAGAAATATTTGTTAAATTAGGGAAGTTCAAATCGATTATTTGAAGTAAATACCAATATTTAGGAATGCAGATTTTGGTGACCTATATATTTGTACATATGAATTTCGTTTTTTTAAATAACGAAATGCACTGTAACTTTAGCGAAAATATGTACAGATGAACGTAGAGAACTGAATAAATGAATAAATAAGAATGTTTGACGACTAATGTCTTATTTTGTTGTAAAACAAGAATGTTTATTCCTTAAGTTGTGGTTTAAATCGTTTCGCCTTAAAGATTGATATTATTAACGTTTGAATATAAAGAAATATTTTAATGTTAAGTTTTGGTGCCAATTTTAAATTCGTTGGTACAAATATCATGGGTCATTAAGAAGTGAAGTGGGCCGAAAGATATATTGGGATGAAATTAAAATTGAATAACTGTCGCCTATTTTTCAATTTCATGAAATGTGTCCGTTGTCACTGTCAGTGTTCTTCTGAACGTGCCTGAACTTTCGTAGGTCTAAGACCTAAGTTGCAATATTTGTTTTAATCTATTTGTCATTTTTATAGCCACAATAATGTAATAATATCTGGTTAATGCTGAAGTTATTTTGTTGCCTTGTGTCATTGACTTGACAAATTTTATATTTTGAATCGAGGGATGAAATAAAATATGTACACCTCATGCATTCTTTTATTTGGTGAAATACAAAAATAATGTTTAACTTCTACGGAGGGAGCATGACTCATTTTTGGTGAATATGGAGTTGTACTTGTAAATAACACTTGCACAGTAATTGTGCAGCTTTTAAATCCGGCATGTTTTATTGCTTTTTACGTATGAGATTCTTCCTTAAAATTCCAGATTGGGCACTACGTATAACTATAATGACCAAAATAAAACTGAAACGATGTCAGAGGAACAGTATAGTAACCAGAATGTCCAATGTCATACTCATAGTAAAATATGCAACATGAGTCAAGCAACAGGTGGAGCTAATACATAATACAACACGTATACAATGTCAATACAGTAATTACAAAACCAAAAACGTTAAAAGATTACTTATAAAGTACGTGGCCACTGGTATCTATTAATAGATTGCTGTGCCCAAACACAAAACGATACCGAGCAGTGCACGCCATTCACCCGACAAACACCCCTGAGCTTACCTAGCAGAAAGCTTAACAAAACGAAAAGTTGTATTTTTAAAAGATGGTATGAAACCAAATTGAGGTACTGGAAGTCAAAATCCCAAATAAAATTGCAAAATCATATTCTCCCAATCTCTGTCCCATTTTCAGTTTTTTTGAGATGAAATTTCCAGGACCGAAAATGTCCCATTTTCAAATATGACATTTTCTGAACACAAATTTGACAGATTGGATGAAATATTTGCCCAGAAACCAGTTAGTCAGTTAATTGATGATGGTATGAAACCAAAAATTGAGGTACTGGGAGTCAAAGACAAAATCCCGAATAAAATTGCAAAATCATATTCTCCCAATCTCTGTCCCATTTTCAGTTTTTGAAGATGAAATTTCCAGGACCGAAATTTTACAGTTTTGACTGGTTTTTTCACCTGTTACCAATTAGTAAGTCAACTATAGATGGCATATGACACGATTGAGGTGCTGGAAGTTTGATTTCGGTCGGAGGAAGCCCACAGCAGAAAGCTTAACAAAACGAAAAGTTGTATTTTTAAAAGTCTTTCCCATTTTCAAATATGAAATTTTCTGAACACAAATTTGACAGATTGGATGAAATATTTGCCCAGAAACCAATTATATTACAAATTATATTACAAATTATATTACCAATTATATTACAAATTAGTCAGTTAATTGATGATGGTATGAAACCAATTAATTGAGGTACTGCACTGGGAGTCAAAATCCCAAATAAAATTGCAAAATCATATTCTCCCAGTCTCGGTCCAATTTTCAGTTTATGAAAATGAAATTTCAAGAACCGAAATTTTACAGATTTGACTTATTTTCAATAACCTACTCGACCATTGTTAATGATCTGGCCCGGCGCGCGCTACTTCGAAGAAATTTAGACGAGTAACATCCGTCAAATATGAAATAACCTACTCGTTGCTCTAAGTAGGAAGTGCACTATGAGGCGCGAAATTCAAATGCTGCGCTTTTGTGCTTTTTCGACGAAATATTTCGCAGTATTTTGTTAAATGTAGCTTTATTGCTCGGAAAAATACTTAACAGGTGATACTCGTAAAATATTTGTTCCATATATTAGGACCGTCGTCGAGTCAAACTCGGCGCGCGTCCTGGTAGGTTGTAAACTTGATTCACGATGTCAATCCTTCGCATCTCGACGATCTGCATCTGTGGTTGCGAGAAGATGCGCGGCGCGGCCCAGTAGTGCATAGCGCCACAAGTTGTAAACCTACAAAAAAAATACATATTGTAAGCAATCAGCCTGAAATTTAAGAATCTGTGAGTTTATTAGTCTATAATGATGACTGCAAAAAATTATTGTTTTAGCTTCATTGCATGAGAAATTACTAAAAAATTGAAAAGTTCTCTGTTTCATGTTTGAATTTACGTAGTTTTTTTTTCCCATAACTCGGCAGTTTTTTCAATTTTTTCCTAGATTTTTGGGGCCATTTAGAATGTTCCCTAAAGAATGTGCTAAGAAATTTTCATCAAGATGTAAAGCAAGGAAATAAAGCACGAGCATTAAGAAATATCAAAAATCAACGAATTTCGTCAAATTACGCGACTTTTACACTTAACGGGTGATACTCGTAAAAAACTCGGCGCGCGTCTTGGTAGGTTATAAACCTACAACTTTTACACTGCACTTACTGAGGTTCCAAAGGCTGCGCATGGCATCATTAAATATGGCACATATAGCCGAAATTAATTAATTATTCCAAAAAGGTATAACAAATTTGGTATTGTGAAAAAGCTCACACTCTAGAAAGCAATGGTACAAAAATTTTCAAAATCCAAGCAAGTTTATTTTTATCGTGCACCTCTTACTCTAAGTCTAACCAACGTCATTTTGCATGCTGTAGCACGCTATTTTACTTTGAAACAAGCGCGTTACGTAGTTTGCGTAGATAAAATTCATGGCTATATTTGTATCACGTGGTGACCCCCACTGTCGCTTCACTATATCGAGTTTCTACGATACAGGGGGAGCCGCGCACTCGTGATCGGCGGGTCATACAACGTATGACAAGGCTATATGTGTTGATTCGCAATGTCGATCCTTCGCAGCTCTGCTTGACCATTGTTAATGATCTGGCCCGGCGCGCGCTACTTCGTAGCACGTGCCATCGGGCCATTTCGAGAAGAAAGCGGCGCGCGCTACTTCGAAGAAATTTAGACGAGTAACATCCGTCAAAGCTTTGCGAGTTAACGGGTGATACTCGTATAATATCTGTCGACGAGTCCAACTAGCTCGGCGCGCGTCCTGGTATGTTGTAAACCTACAACTCTGCGATGTGCGAGGCCCAGTGGTGCATATTGCTGATCAACTGAAGAAGGTTGTGAGATCAGAAGAATTAGTGGCTACGCAGTGCGGTACAGTAGTGCATTGCGTTACAATGTTATGTGAAACTTGTAGTGTGATGCACTCCTGAACCGCGCCGCGCATCTAATAATGCTTTTCGCAATCTTCGCTAGATCGGCGAAATGCACCACTTTACCTGGGGACCTCAGGCTATTATGTTCATAAGCAATAGAGATTCGGCGGAATGACAGGCTGAGCGCTGCCCAGTAATGCATCGACTTCGACGCGCCGCGCAAACTAGCATTCTTGCTTTGCATCGACGATCTCTATGGGTTGACATCATCAATCAACACTGGGCCTCGCAGAGCTGCGAAGGATTGACATCGTGAATCAAATGTGAAACCTATGCGCATTTTGAATACTTTCGCTTTCATTTTAAATACTTTCACTTATTGACAACGCATAATTTGGCACCAATGAAATTAAATTTTAATTTCAAGAAGGGGCTGTAATTATAAATTTATAATATGGGGTTGTCAAATAAAAAACTTGATCTTAACCTCATAAATAAATTTTTAAACTTCATATTTTCCATAATAATTTACTGTGCAGCGCTCAGCTTGTCATTCCGCAAAACCTCTATACTCTTTTCTATCAATCTATCATCTATGAATATTATAGCCTGGGGTCCCCAAGTAAGCTTCGATCATAGCTGGCTCAAAAATATCGTTATCTATGTTGCGAATTCGATATAATCATTTCAGTTGCATTATTTTTTTTTGTTTTTTTTTGATTTAATAAAATTATTCAAACAATATACACATAATATAGCAATGACCCTATATAAAATCTACCCTTTAAAAATTAAAAAAGTTTCCTAAACAATCAAAAATTACCCTTGGCCTTGTGGCTCCAAGTTAAGATCTATACTGTTTATATCAACAATGTTTTTTCTTGCACCTCTGTCTCCACGGAGAGAAATCACTGTTGTTCTTAGGATTTCAAAGCGAAGGCGCTTTCTAATGTATCCTACATCATCCGAGTACCTCTGGCCAGTGTGGTACTCCATCTTACTGGCCAGCTTCTTAACCAGTCTTTCAGCTTCACCACCCATTCCACCAGAAGTCGAGAAAACTAAAGGTGTGAAGCTTTCTTTCTCCACTCCAAGAACTCTTGCGTTGTAACATCGCTTTTTTCTCATTTTCATGGGACTGGTACATCGCTGGGATCGATTTGCTTGCATTGGAGGGGGCTGGGGCATGAAATACCCTTACATCAAAAAATGCCCTCTCTGAAGCATTCCAAATCGATCTTGCAGAAATGTCCAGCCTAGCTTGGTCTCCTAGGACTGTTCCCTTTGGTAACTCTAGACCATCAACTGGAAGAAGAACTGGCTCAGTCTGCATTATACTGGCTCAGTTGCATTATACAGTCATTCTAAATACTCTGTTCTATGCTTTTTTTGTTAATTTGTCTTTGGCACCGTTCAAATATTGTGTAACCATTGTGTTTCCTATACTAAGTGACTAAGGAAAGGAGGGATACTAAAAAATATTTTGTAGTTTGTGTCCTTTGTAAATTATCTTTTCTTATTTTCTCATGATAAACTCTGAAACTTTGTTTTATAAGCTGTCTGATGTTTTTCAAATTGCGTAAATTGTTTTAAACGGTTGATGATCGGATTGGCTTCAATAGCTTATCGATGAACCTTATGTTCAATGTTCATCATTGCGGTAACTAACTGATTGTGTCAATTATGTTCAGTCCTCTGTTTAGATACTGAAGAATGTGTTATCCTTATTTGTGTCAACGACGGAATTTAATTTTTCTTCGGCACCCATTTATAGGAAAAATGTCTATTATTTATTTTGTACTGTAAAATTTCATATTCATATACAATTAGCGATTGACTAACTAACTCCAATATAATTATTTATAGCTTTAAGTGGATATGACAAGTCGCTGTGCAGTAAATAAAAACCGTTGTGAAATCGAAAATGATATATTTAGCACCTTCCTGATGCAAAAGAACTGTGTTACCTTGATGAAAAATTTTGTTGCTGATTGGTATCCCAGTTCGTGGGATCTTGACTTTCTTGCCAAATGCACTGTTGGTCAAACAGTCACTGTGAAAATGGGTAAGCCATACACAGGTGACCAGGTTCCGAAAGAATCTGACTGCAGCTTTAAACCACAAGATCTGGGAGAATTCTTTAGATTTCTTGCAACTAATCGTGATACTAAAACTTTTCATTATGCTGGATATACCCATTTTGCAACTCTTAATAGCACTACCCAACAATTTCATACTTTTGATTGGAGTTGGGCTGGGTTGAAGGATGTAGGTTCCTCCAAGTCTACATTGTGGGCAGGATCTACTGGCAGTTTCACACCTTGTCACCAGGATTCATATGGTTGTAATCTTCACGCTCAGATTATTGGATGTAAAGAGTGGCTGCTGTGGCCCCCAGACTATGATTTGGGAGCAACGCGTTTGCCATATGAGGAGAGCAGTACTTTTAGCTCTGTTGATGTTTTAGACAAAAATTATGCAAAATCTGCATTACGAATTGTTGTGTCTCCTGGAGAGGTTATTTTTATTCCTAAACATTGGTGGCACCTTGCACGCAATTTAGAGACTTCTGTTAGTATAAACACTTGGATTGAACTATCCACTGACTCTGTTGATAGAATTCAAGAAGCAATAACTCGATTATTAGTTTGTAGTCTAAAAGGATATGAGTCTTCACAAGATTGGGTAAATCCAGGAGAAGAAATTTCAAAACCTCATGAAAATGAGATGTTTTTGAGGCAGGCTATCAATCAAAGTAATCAAGCTTCTGGGTCCCCAAACATGTCAAGAAAAGATGGCGAAAGTGAACAGTGTTATTTTATAGTTGACAAAGCTGCAGCCACATCTGATAGCTTCATTCAGCGTATTCCTTTACCAAAACATCCTTCTAGCTACAAAAAGAGTAGCCAGGAACAACCAGATAAATCTGTTGTTGACACTCTTATCAATCTAATTGTATGTGATCGTGATATAATGAACAAACTTAGTGATAAACTTTTGAATTCTAGTCTTAGATAATATCATTTTTGCATGCACTTAGCACTATATTAATCTATCATACTTTTGTTCAAAATCTTGATGAGCATAGCAATTTCTACATTATCTTATTTAAATTTCAATCTAAAGAAACTTAATGATTGTCAACATTATGCTGCATCTAAGTATAATATTGTTTGATAATTACAATATCTAAACTGATACAATATATTAGGTTATAGCATGGGAGAATGGATGGAGAAATATAACAATGCTGAAAGACAACTCGATCACTACCGCATGCAAGCTACTAAAATAAGCCGAATTGTGCCCCAAAAGGTTTGTCAAGTCGTATTTTTCAAAAGCTCCTACCTATAAGGGGAACATCAAATATGATAGACTGCATTCTTTTTCAATTGAACGATTTAGACTAACTATTAGAAAAATGTAAACAGGTGATATACAGTTATAGCAATACGTTTATTACAGATAAGAGAGCTTGAAGAGCAGGTTGAGATTGCTCAACAGAAGCTAGAGGTAGAGGAGAAGAACAGTCGAGTTATAAAGCAGCAGGTTTGTTTATAAACGAGTCTTATTTATCAGTAATATCATGTATTATTACTATATTATCAGTAATATCATATTATACTATATTATCAGTAATACCATATTATTAAACAACATTGTGGTTTCTAAACCACTAATGGATATACATTATACAACAATCCTGTAATCTGTTTATAAACTCACTGAGCACACACACTTACACGTGATTTTGTAGGGCTATTGTTAGCAATTTTGCCAATCACCTAAATACGAGAGAGTAAGTCATGTTTACCGGTTAATGGTGGTTTTTGTCTCTCGATTAATGTCTGTACCTAGTCAAAGTGTGTACCTACTGTCTTTGTATCGGTGTGATTTTGTAAAGAACCTTTCTTTTATTTCTTTTGGTGATTGAAACGCAAAATACAGTCCTCAATGGTAATATGGACTATCTGAGAGCGATATCTCTAGCTCTCATTTAACATCCCTAATTTATCTCTGTATGTGCTTTAAGTGATCTAAGATTGCTAGCTCCTCCTCCTTCTAACAATATGTACACATAAATGATAAGATAATATGATAATCATTTGTTACAGTTGGTTGTGACTTATCTGATAGCATGACCCTATAATGAGATGGGTCATTACACAGAGTATAAACCAGCCGGCATAATGAGGGAGAAGTCTGAACTGGTGTACAATTTGCTCGCTAATGAGCTAGATATCCACAGTCCGGATTCCATGTGTTCCAATATTGTCACAGCTCTGATCACGTGACCCATCCTATTGGGATCACGTGACTGAGCCTCTGTTCTACGATTGGGTGAGGGCTCTGTCTGGCCCTCTTGTGGAGATGTATCACAACAGCTCCTGGGCAGCTCACAGTTGTACCTCTGTGTGTGTGTGTGTGATGTTGACAGATGATGGAATGTAAGGCTCCTTTTGTTGTTTATCTCTTCCGAGCAAGTTTAACTTTTCCTTAATTGCTCTCTTATCTCTCTGTTTTCTCTCTTTCTCTGTTATCAGTACTGATATTTTACCACCTTGTTGGTTCTGGCTTTTATCTACTTTAAATAATGCAATTTACTGTGTTTTTACAATGCGACCATCTCTATTTTTGACGATCGATGATTTGGTTTTCTGATATGTTTAAGCTTTTAAGGTTGTTAAATGCATCAAACTAGGGCCATGTGACCGATTTGACCGATGTAACGATTTCCGTCTCATAATTTATATCATGTATCGACTATTAAGCCCCGAATTTAAGGAACACCGGTTAAAATCTCATGGAACTACAGTGGCGCAGTTTATTATGGCCCTCAGGCTCCGAGAGGAGGAATACTTGTATTACTATACGTCTACCAATCAGAGATCAGAACTCTGGTCACGTGACCAGAACTAACCCAGCTGATTAGTTGTTTAAAGTTGGTTGAACTGCGACAGTGAAAATTGCAGTGCCGTGCTGTTAAACTCCTCTCTTAGTTTCTCCACTACTGCTACTAGTTGCTCTACTGTTGTCCTGACCCTTAGCTGGGTTTGGTGTTACCTCTATATATCTAGTTAGAATTAGGAGCTACGTAACCTCACTACGTTATGTTTGAGGACTTATTACTGCTTCCAATTTGGAGCACAATATTGAGGTGTTTAATCAAGGAAGTGTTCCTTTAGCCGGATATTTTGCCAGCTCTGTAAATACTTCAGCTGCAGTTTTGGTTTTCCTCCACTCGGTTATTCTGCTTACTTCCTCCTTTTTGCATAGTTTGCTTTTTAACATGGCTGTATTCCGGATTTCAGCCGTCTTATCTTCCTTTATAACCATGTTCTATAAAATATCCTGTGAAGTGTACAACTACAGCTTTTCCCATGCTCTTTTATGAAACTGTTTGACATTGACGAGTCAGTGGTGATTTTGTTAAGCCGCAGTTGCCCATGCCCCAGGATAATCCAGTGTAGAATCTTAAGATTAAACGGTGATCATCACGCCATATCTCGAGACCGCTTGTCTTACTCTAGAAACCCTAATACTGTATTTGTGAACCTTGCCAATTAGTGTGACAAGTATGACAGTAGTGTGACAGTAGTGTGACAGTGGTGAGTGACTGTCTGTGACAGTGTCTGAGTGTCACTGTTATAGTGCTCAGCCACCCTCGTCCCTGTCTGAACACCACCCGATATAGAAGATGAAGTAAGCTGAATTACTGCGGACTGCGGAGGTGTGATAGAAGTAAGCTGAAATACAGCTAATGTGTGATAGAAGTAAGCTGAAATACAGCTAATGTGTGATAGAAGTAAGCTGAAATACAGGTGAGGTGTGATAGAAGTGAACGGTAGTGAGCTGTAGAGGTGTGATAGAAGTGAACGGTAGTGAGCTGTAGAGGTGTGATAGAAGTGAACGGTAGTGAGCTGTAGAGGTGTGATAGAAGTGAACGGTAGTGAGCTGTAGAGGTGTGATATAACGGGTAGTGTACTGCTTGTCTACTGATGTCCACGTGTCACCCTCTTCTACCAGGACTGTGAGGGGATGCTGTCTCGTGTGGTGGTAGCTTGCTGAGGCTTCCTCTGTCGACGCTATCCTAGCACTGATCCCTGGGGAGCTATCACTTTTTGTTGTTGTCTTGTTTCGGAAAATAGAGCTGGTATATTGTCATAGTTACGTACTCTTTTTACTGCACCGGTTTATTGTTCAGTTATTGATCATCTTGATAGGTGATAGACGCAAATTACCCTTAGATTGGTAGGCGAAAGTTTTTCAAATTTAAGTACCCTTAAGCTTTAGTTCGCTAGGTGATAGTTACTAAGTACCCTCAGGTTGCTAGGTGATGCTAGGTGGTAGTTGCTAATTACCCTCAAGTTGCTAAGTGATAGTTGCTAAGTACCCTCAGGTTGCTAGGTGGTAGTTGCTAAGTACCCTCAGGTTGCTAGGTGATAGTTGCTAATTACCCTCAGGTTGCTAGGTGATGCTATGTGATAGTTGCTAAGTACCCTCAGGTTGCTAGGTGATAGTTGCTAAGTACCCTCAGGTTGCTAGGTGATAGTTGCTAATTACCCTCAGGTTGCTAGGTGATGCTAGGTGATAGTTGCTAAGTACCACCAGGTTGCTAAGTGATAGTTGCTAAGTACCCTCAGGTTGCTAGGTGATAGTTGCTAAGTACCCTCAGGTTGCTAGGTGATAGTTGCTAAGTACCCTCAGGTTGCTAGGTGATAGTTGCTAAGTACCCTTAGGTTGCTAAGTGATAGTTGCTAAGTACCCTCAGGTTGCTAGGTGATAGTTGCTAAGTACCCTCAGGTTGCTAGGTGATAGTTGCTAATTACCCTCAGGTTGCTAGGTGATAGTTGCTAAGTACCCTCGCGCGCTCCCTTTCTCCCATACATATTCAGCTCGTCACATAAACAAGCGGCTAACTACTTGATGACAAGGCGGAGTACAGTGTTCTGTGACCTAACTGCGGCGGGTCTTGTACCGCCTCCCTACCGCCTGCAGCTGGACCTGCTCTCGGGTTTGTATGCCGGGAAAAAGGGTAGTTTCAAACGCGCTCTAACACTACATTGAGTTAATCTGAGTTGTTTTGTGATGTTTATGGTAAACAAACCACGCCTTGTTTTGTTTACAATACACATTGCTGTTTATATTTACAAAACAATATCCACAACCGGTCAGTTGTGTAAACTTTTTGAAATATTATATTTATAATGATACAAGAAAATACCATTCAAAAATTCCCCGTGGCCGTGGCGACAATTCTATTTTTACATGAAACTTGATACAATAAAGTCTTATAACAGATACAATATCTTTAATAATAGATAATTAAATCGTTCTAATAAATTCTGTAACAAAATACCTGGGGTGATGGTAAACTCGCCTTCAAACAATGTTAATTTTATCATTAGTCGATGAAAATGTTTTGCTATTCTCATCACATCGCTATTATTGTTATCGTGCCGCATATTTTCGTTTACGCTGTTTCTATCCCTTGTTAACAGTTCGGTGCTATCCTATATCTCGTTAACAGTTTTATTCGGTGTTATCCAGTTTTCGCTTTCTTTCTATCCAGTTTTCGCTTTCTTTCTATCCAGTTTTTGCATTCTTGCTTCTACTTTTTGTTTGTTTGATTTTAAATAAACTGTTCAAATGTCACGCCATATATTATTTCCTCGCGCGTATCCACTAGAAACAGAAATATAGCGTGTTTTTACAATCCACATTATTGATTTAAATACACTTACTGTTTATACTCACCACCTTTATTAAGAGAATTGAAGAAGAAAATAATATGTACATTTTGTGTTAGTAAGTCATACATTTGCTCCTGAGTCCTTATCTTCCCTATATAAAGCTCCTCCATTATGACTGCTACAACGGTTGCCACGAGTGGTGGACACTTTTTCGCGAGGTCCCATGTCAATGAGTTGTTTTATTGTGCTATTATGTTTGAGTTGCTATTTATACAGTTACATGTTTGTCAATCTCGGTGGTTACTCAGTGTCGGAGAAAGGAACGGCAATGTAAAACAAGTTGTAAAAATAGTTGAAATAGTTACAAATAGTTAAAATAGTTAAAAACAGCCGGTTCTGAGCTTGTTTGTTAACATTTACCTCTTTACGCTATTTTACCGGGTCAGCTATAAACACACTAAATTTTACAGTTCATAATTTATGTAAGCTCCAATTTGCCAGGGGATTTCGGGAGATATCGTTCAAATTTAATTACTGAGATCCCCAGTATAGGACTTATTTCTAACCTGATTTTCTTATTTTCATTGTTTTATATCAGTTAGTCGCACGTCATTCCTGAAAATTGCAGCTGAATTTCATCGCCTGTATTGATCTATTCATTATTTAGCCAGGAATTTTTACCGTTAAGATCGCCAAAAGTGAATATTGATTCCTTGTCTAATTAACACGGCTAAGGTAAATATCATACGCCTTGTTACTCGTGCGACAAAGACTGTACGGAATAATATCAAGAAATAATACTGCTGTGTTTTGGTCTGCTAATAAATATCCTCCGCCGGAATTTGGCGATAAAAATTCTACCAAAATAGTCGGTGGCTACAGCAGATCAATAATTGTACGTGCGTTGCAAATAACACACGTGCGCGGTTGAGGTTTGCACGTGGTGTGTTAGAGAAACCGAAGGTGTGGGATGAGTAGCCTCTCTCTTCACTCCTAACATTGTTATTTTTCTGTGTCGCCGTTACCGTGTGGTTATATAGTTATGTCATCCTGATCGCAGGTTTTTGTATGAGTTCTTCTTTCGCTTTGTAGTTGTAACTCCGCCCTCTCCTCTTGTTTCTACAGTCTGTTTCTAATTATATTGTCTGGACTGAAAGTTGTTTTTTTTTATTGGGACTGTAATCTGTATATTTGAAACTGTTCCATTTGTTCTCTTCGCACTGAAACTTAATAAGCTATCTAGTAGCCACTAGCCAGGGTTGACTAAAACGTACACATTTCCCATTCCATTACATAATATTCACCCTTAAAATGTATGGATTTGTAGTAATTAGTTTAAAGCACTCTGTACACACACACACACATATAACATAATTTCGATCTAACATTAATATTTCATTGCCACCCATAACCCCTCCCTCCGCTAGATGAATGACAACCTAGCGTTGCACCACGAAGCGCTGGACCGTCACGACGTTATCACGGCTAAATTACGTGCACAAAACACACAACTCAGAGAAGAGCTGACGGAGAAGAATAATGTTATTCTGGCTTTAGAGGAGGAGATAGAAGCTCTGGTAAGTGGAGTTTTAATGTTATTCTGGCTTTAGAGGAGGAGATAGAGGCTCTGGTAAGTGGAGTTTTAATGTTATTCTGGCTTTAGAGGAGGAGATAGAGGCTCTGGTAAGTGAAGTTTTAATGTTATTCTGGCTTTAGAGGAGGAGATAGAGGCTCTGGTAAGTGGAGTTTTAATGTTATTCTAGCTCTAGAGGAGGATATAGAGGCTCTGGTAAGTGGAGTTTTAATGTTATTCTGGCTTTAGAGGAGGAGATAGAGGCTCTGGTAAGTGGAGTTTTAATGTTATTCTGGCTTTAGAGGAGGAGATAGAGGCTCTGGTAAGTGGAGTTTTAATGTTATTCTGGCTTTAGAGGAGGAGATAGAGGCTCTGGTAAGTGGAGTTTTAATGTTATTCTGGCTCTTTCCAGGCTCTGGTAAGTGGAGAATTTTTTACTGACTTCTTACTCAGTTGTAGCTCACTTATCTGTTTTGAGATATATCTATTAATAGACTGGGGTTTAGTATGGGTATTGTTGTGGGAATATGACTCACACAGGTATTTAAACACGTTCCACCTGTCAGGAGGGCACTGGAACTGCACTGCATTAGTCTGCCCCTTTATTGATAGTATTATAACGGACCCCTCTGACTCCCAGTTTCGCTAAAATAACACGTTTTAAACTCCCTGACTAACGAGTTCGTCTTCATGGGGCGGGGTGTGGTAGTGCTGTGTAGGGGTGGGGTGTGGTCTGTGAGGGGGATTACTTTGGTTAATGTGTGATTTAATAAACCTACTTAGTTGAACTGACAGTGTGTTAGGACTTAGGAATACTTAGTGGTCTTCTTCTTTTCAATGTACTTCATTAAAATCAGCCTTCTTTTACTATTTTAAGTACCAATTAAATTCTCATTACGGAACTGCCTAGATGACGACTGATGTAGCCCTAAAACTCATCTCTAAAAATAGCTCATCCTAAACCCAATTTGGTGAATATTTCGAATATTTCAGCGGATACAACGAAAACGGGACGAAGATTCTGTGAGCCAGAAAGTGAAGTTGATAAAGGAGCACATACACAAATCTATAAGGAGTTTAGAGATTGAGAATATTCGGTTAAAACGCCAAGTAGAGCAAGTTGAGAATGGGAAGATTGCGGAGTTGAACACTGAGATTGAGAGACTGAAGGAGGTTTGTTGTTTTACCACTTTATACTCTATAATATTCTATACCCTCTTTATATCCGGCTTTAAATATTCAGTCCAACTAAATGTAGGATACGTCAATTACTAATTAAACTAATCGATCGGATTTGCTGCATCATCTATAGTTCCTTATATAACGGACACAAATATTTACCGATAAATTACTTTATTAGAAATTGGACTTTATTATTTATATTTATATTTATCTTAAAATTAGGTCCAATAACAGAAGGAATCTACAGAATGTTTCATTTTTAAAAGGATAGGCTGAGAATAAGGATCAAGGACGCAAGTGTGACGTCAAAGTGAAAAGAAAATTTAATTTTCGTAAAATTCTCCAACTTTTACGTCGAAGTTTAGTTTAATTACTGAACTAACAGTATATCATTAAAATGTTAAAACTAAGATAATTGTATTAGAATACCACAACGAGATAGATTAAATTCATCTTTAGACAGATGGTATAGTCTATAAGGTAAACCTTATTACAGATAAACAGAGTCCAGGCTTGCAATAGAATAGCTATTTTTGAGGAGGCTTACAAAAAGTGCTGCAGAGATTTCAACCTGGGCTCACCCAAGATGAGTAATAATAATGGTAACCATAGCAACAGCAACCTTGCTCAACCCTTCTCACCTATCTACCAGCACACATCTGTAAGTCACGCTAATTGGTTACTTTATTTATTAATTCACCTCCGCACACCTTTCTAATTCTACTGACTAATTTACAACATAGATTTGTATGAAATGCGGATAATTTTAACAGACTGTTTAAATTTTATGTTACGGTTATATACAATCAACTAATTTTACTTTTGCAGTCTGTAAGTTCCCAAGACCCACTCTACACGTCAATTAGTCCTGACGATAATAACGTGAAGTCACCACAACAACGCGTGACGTCACCACAACACCGCGTGACGTCACCACAACACCACTTGACGTCACCACATGTGTCATCCCCACAACATGTACCAGCTTCCCCTGGCAACCATTTCAATCAGATTTTGGTAAGTGCATCTCCAAGTTCATTACTGTAAACTAATGACTTCCCAAGCTACAAATTAACTATCGATTAAGTTATCTTTGACATTAATTGATTCTCACATCAATTAAAACTCTTATCAATTAAGACTTGTTGAGTCATATAGGATGTATATAAATATCATAGTGTAAACATAGTTCTTAGTCCTTTTTTAACATCCGGAACCATCTGTTAACAAAGAAGAGCCTTTTCTTTTCTTTCGGACTAATTTAGATGATTTTAAATCATAATGGTTATGTTATAGTTCGGCTTGTTTAAATGTCACAATCCTTACATTATGTTACGTAAGATTACGTCAACTATTCCCGCGTTTCAGAGAACTGGAAACGCACTTCAATACCTGCAATCAAAGTAATCACACTGAGTGGGAACCGTTAATTCGATCTTAGTAATCAAATTATCACCGGGATGTTAACTAGATGGCACGTTTCCAAATGTGATTTGTGCACCAATGTTAAGGGGGGTCATGACAAATATCTGGGATACCTACCTCGAAAGTTTAATAATTCTCAAAACCCCCCAGTACAGTGTTCAGTAAGAAGCTTCCAGTCAGTTATGCTCCTTAATTACCACACTAAATTATGGGTTGTAGGGTTTGGGTTTTGTGGTACGTGGGAATGAGTTTTAAACTAGTGGTGGTTGCTAAAGTGTGTTTGACTGTAAGGAGGGTGGGACCGACTTCCCCACACCCTCAACACTCAACACTTAAAACTTTACCAGCTCTGCAGTTTGCGCGCCAAACTCTTTAAAAGATGGTCCAAACATCGCTGAATAAAAGAGTAAAATTAAATATATTTAAAAAGTTTAATATATTTAAACGTATTTTAAAGAAAAGTTCGTAACTTACTCCAGAGTTATGCAATGTTATTTATATCCACAGTCTGCGCTCTGTACTAGTGAGTTAGTGCCAAAAGATAGTCTGGATCATTAATCTAAGTTATATTACTCTTACAGAGGTTAATCTAAGTTAGTGTTACAGGGATCATTACCCTCAATAACTGGGAATAGTGACCAACTAGGTTTACATTAACTCTAAATTGTGAACAACGAGGTTTACATTATAATATCTACATTAAGAATCCAGGCTGTGCCTGTTAGGAAACACTACAGACAGGTAGATGATAGCATGTAAGTTTATGTGAGAGGTTGTAGTGGTCATATATATGTCATCTTGTGACAGTTCAACCCCTCCTCCACCCTCTTCTTCCACCCTCTTGTATTCTGTGTAGGTAGGTAAGGTAAGATTAGCCAACTTCAGGCTATTTTATTCTTATCTAAATGTCAGATATACACAATTACGCAATTTCATGAAAATAGACTTCCTTAGATTCTTCTCATATCTTAAAACCTCTTACAAAGTTACAAAACCATTTATAGTGCCCAGACTCAACCTTATCGGCCATATTTCTTGAGAAATTTCTGCAGAAACACCTGACATTGTTAGAGAAACACCTGACATTGTTAGAGAAAACCTGCCATTTCACTTACCAGCTGTTACCAAAACGTGACACCACTTTTAAACAGTTTCCAAACATTTTGAAACTCTGCGTAATATCGTCTGGGTCGAAAGAGTTTGTCTGTTTAATAATACAAGTGAGTGGTCTGTAATTTAATCAGTGTTATCAGTGCTGTGTTGGGGTATTGGGGAGTGAGGTAGGGTGGTGGGGAGAGGAGCCCACTGATAAACACAGCGGGGACCAGGACACAATGTCCCCTCTTGTGGGGAGGTGTCACCATATTTAATATCATCCCTCTTTTTACGTACGCAAATTTCTTATTAAATTTAAGTTTTGGTGACTTTCATTTGGCGAAAACATTCTCTTGGAGAATTAGAAGCCCCAGTAACCACATAAATAACCCTAGTAACCACGTCAGTATTAACCTCAGTTACCACGTTAGTAACCCTAGTAACCCCTGCAGAACCAGATTCCTCTATCCCCGCTGCACCGGTCCCACAATGAGTCGCCTCCCCTTCCTCCCCGACGTACCAGTGCCTCCAAGTGCAGTACAGACGAGAGGAAAAAGAAGACGCCTACTGGAGCTAATATGTGTTGCCCTCAGTCCTGCTGCCCTTCCAAGTAAGTCAACTTACGATCAACTTACTATCAACTTTCTATCAACTTAACTTTGTTCATCGTTCATAGGAGGAAATGTCCTGATTTACTACAAATTTCCCATTTCCTGGGCTCCTTGACACTCCGTCCCCCCAGTAGTTCCCACTACGAAGTCCAGTACAACAGTAACTCCTCCACCAGCTCTCCTCCACCAATGTCTCTAAGAGAAGCAGGAGATGGGAGTGTTAGTAACGACTACGATGAGATACCCTGTGAGGGGGTTAGTGAGATGTACGGGTATTCTAGAATGCAGAGTGATCCTGCTCCTCCTAGCGTGAGTGTTTTTACAATTTTACATGAAAAAAAAGTAAAAATAGGAGGCTTTCCTCCATTAAAGTACCAGTTGATGATAGAGCTTATGCCGGGACTTGGGGAAGCGATATATATACCTACACAATGTTACCACGTATTGATTATTTTCATCAGACAGCTTGAGTCATGACAGCACTAATCGTATTTGTGTTATTCCGTATCGGGTGTAGTGTATACTATAGTTTGTACATGGTGTACACAGTTGTTTGTCTGTAAACTCACACTTTGAGAGCTGGTGTGCCAGACACCGTATTTTCTACAAATTCTGATAATTCATAATAAAAAGCTCGTGATGTGAAGTAGACAACCTGATTATTCATTATTGAATTTCTTGATTGTTTTCTCTTAGACGTAAAGAACATGTTCACTCGTGATAATTGAATTTAATTAAACGTCACTCTTACAGCTAATTCAATCTGTGTCGTCATAAAACTACCAGGAAATTAACAATTAATTATATGACTGGTTCATGTGTATGTCGTCCCGTTTGGACATGTCAGTAAGTCAATTAGCTGCACTCGCACCGCTACCCTCAAAAGGATCTGACTGATAACTTAAACCCTTATCCTAGCAGCTTGCAATGTCAGCACCCTGCTTTGTTATTTCCCAATCTCCCCCTCGCACTGGCCAGCACTCCATATGTACACTCTGAAAATAGAATTACGACTAAAAGAGGATGAACAGTCCGGGAGACTTGTGCTGGCCTATAATTCAACACGTGAGAGTGTTGACCGTTATCTCCTTCAGGTCCGACTGCGCTCCAACAGCAAAAACGATAAATCGTTGCGCGGCGGGATTGTGAGAAACGGCTCCAACACCTCGCCTCCCTCTAACTTTGGAAGTGCATCCACATTACCCGCTACCCCTACTGCGGGGACCCCTTTACTTGCACACAACTTTCAGAATAACCCTCGTATTCACGACAGCAAGGTAATATTATAGTTTCACTGATAAATTAATTATTACTTATATTAAATAGTATCAGTGTTTTAGTGTTTCAGTTGCAAACTCTCTAGACATTTGAGGACACACTTGATTTTAACAGTTAATCCAAACAAGGGAACATTGTTCTAGTTCCGTCTTATCACGACTGACAACTAAACTCCCCCTCCAGATGTTAACACGTGACCCACTCTCCCCTGGATGTAAACGTGAACCCTCCCGCTCTAACCCACTACTCCAATCTCCTTCTAAACACGGCAAACGGAGCTGGGAAACTCTTATAGACAGCCTCGCTCTTGTGGGATTCACTGATGCACTTCCTAACCAGAAATGTGAGTAATAGTTAGTTAATTCTGTAAATCTTAGGTACGTGAGTTATAAACCAGTCATACATATCCTAAGGATAAAAGTAAAGTTACCACAATAGTCAAGGATATTATCCTTGACTATTGTGGTAACTTTACTAATGCTTCTTAGCATAAGTAAATTAATAACACTCCTTTGCTCCTTTGTAAATCCTTCTTCCGGGTATATTATCTGTTGTTACTGAGTTGATGTTACCGTCTTACAGCCTTTAGTAGCTAAATTATAGACCAATAGGGTATGACGTTTGAATACAAAGATTACGCTTTTACGCTTCAAATATTGCTAATTTATTCGTTGATAACATAAATTTGGTATTTGTTAACGATTAACAAAGTAAGCTAATCCCTACTTATCAACTAACACGTACGTATTAACTGTATTCTGAGCTTATTCATCTAAGATACAAGTTGTTCCCCATTCCTGTGGTCTCAAGTCATGTCTTTATATATATTGTATTATTATTAGAGTAACATAAAACACGTACCACTGCTAAATTGTTCCAATTATATTGAACTTAAATTTGGAGGCTACATGCCTACATGGTCTGAAATATTAATACAGAATATTATAGACCATACACTGAACTGAATAGTTTTGGTCTCTCTTACTGTAATAAGAATTCGTAAGATCGTATTAAATAAAAGGTATTTACTTCTCCAATTTTCTTTCTTCGGCTTTACTGGTCTAGGTTTGACCAAGCATAGAACAAATATTATCTTCTGTATAGACAGTAAAAACTTACCATCCGTAGACTCAATTAGTGAACCTACTAGTTTACAAAAACTGCGCAGTAATATTCTCTAAAGTTGAGGCTTCTGAAATCTTAACTGGAGGCTTCTTAACTGGAGGCTTCTTAACTGGAGGTCCACTTAGACTGCTTCTTACCAAGTCTTCAGAACTCTTTCAAATTGTAGTGCATAACGTCATTACTGCTTTTAAACGGGGAGAGGCGCACTAAATATAGCACATATTCTATTATAATGCAATAGAAGATGACTAATGTGTACATGATAGCTTTGACAGTTGACTCAGAGATTTGACACGAGTTAGAGTCTGCGAGGGTTATGTATGATGTATTGTCTAGCTGTGTGCTGAGTAAAGGTGTATTGTTAACTGTCTCTAATATTCTGCCAGGTAACAGGTTACCAGGTAATCAGGTAACAGGTTACCAGGTAATCAGGAAACAAGTTACCACTTACCAGGTAATCAAGAAACAAGTTACCAGGTAACGGTCAGCTAGGTTACCAAGTTAGCTGGTGACACTGTCTAACGACAAACCAGCTGTTTACAATATTTTAATCTGTGTAGGACAACTTTAGGGAGGTTTTCTGCAGGTTGTTTAGAGTGAACAATAATTAGAAAGTGCTATTTACAAGGGTGTAAATAAGTCAATTGTTGTTGATAAAACTTTTGGTAGACCTCTGTAAAAACTATTAAATATTTGTAGTTTTATAAAACAGATTCTAAGTTTGCTGAAACGGCTTCTTTTTGACCAGGAGTTCGCCTAGCTAACAGTCTGCCTAGCTAACAATAATGAACACAGTTCTACCTAACTCTACTGTGCTCTCTCAAACTCAGCACTGTTATTATAGAAGTAGCCGTGAACAAGAACACGGTGACAGATCTCAGTTTTAGTGATGGTCTTTAGTCTCTACTGTGAACCTCTGACAGAACTGGTTACAAAGGGATCCTAATTTTAGCTACTCTGTAGACACTGGTACAACACCTCACCTTGTAGAACACCTCACAACAGGATCACATTTACTTCAGCTGTCCTCCCTCTTTGTTAGGCTCGTGCCGCCAGTTAGTCATGAAATCAAACATGAAACCCCTCTGAAATACCACAGTGTTTGGATATATTCACAGTGATACCCACAACAAGGTATCACAGTGTCTGGAGGGTCTACACCTCTCAACGCTTCATTAGTTTCACATTAACTCCCTCTAAAACCCCGAGCTAGATATCACGTTTTCGGGATATGTATCTTGAGATGTGACTGTAAATTCTGCTCTTTGTAAGAGATACTGTCCAGACATTGCACTTGGGTAGTCAAACAATCACGTTTTCAGGATATGTAATATGTATCTAGAGTGAGGAGTGATTCTAACAGGTAATCTTCAGACATTGTGTCAGACTTGTTGTACCACTTGGGTAGTCAAACGATCAAGCAAGTAGAGGTAGTTTTACATGTGCTAGTATTAACTATTACTAGTAATGCGGAGTCTGTGGAACGTGGATATAAGTGGAGCGGTAAATTGTGAGAATAAACTTTTAAAATAGTGATAATATGCTCCTTCATGATACAGTTTGTAAAAGTTGCAACAAATGTCGGGCTGATACAGCTTCTTCTTTTTAAATCATTATTTAAACAAGGCGGTCACGTTATAGGGAACTAGCCCACATCCCTTAAGAATCATATGCTGATAGCCAATCAGCAGCCGAGTTGAGAGTCACTGGCCAATCAGCAGCCGAGTTGAGAGTCATTATCCAATCAGCAGCCGAGTTGAGAGTCATGATCCAATCATATTAGATAACCACGAGATCAATGATTGAGAATAATCGGGAATCCTATTGTGTCAATGAACAATTGCAATTGAGCGCTCATTCTGTGAGTTTTAATTGATCGTATGTTTACAATTGGCTCTGCCTCGTGCGGAGTCTGATTGCATGTAACTACAGGTGTGAAGTTGCTGTGAAGTTGGTGGGAACTGTAGGTAAAGTAATCATAATAACACACGGTCACCACGTGACACGTGGTTATCATGCGAGCTTTATCAGCTATTCAATTGTTTCAGTGATCATATTATAAATTATTAGATAGCTTGATCATGACGTTCTTATCGGAAATATTTATCATTAGATTCATCCAGAAATTAGAATTTAAAACGATAAAACGTGATTGGGCACGCAGTTGAGACTTCTCGATCTTGGCGGGAGTAACTTTGATGGGAAAATATCTATGAACTAAGACATTTACTGGCCATTTGGACAAGAATAATGTCTCTATAAGACATTAAAGTTCCGTAATTTAGTAAAATGATATTATCCTACCCTATCGTGGAGACAGACAGTGTATGGCCGTGTCTGCAGGGGCACCGCACAGATGACAGTACTAGACTCACCGCAGAGTATTCAGTTAGTTGAAGGAATAATATACAGAATTACTAATACTCCTGCTACTCAGGAAAACGTTATAATTATAGATTTATTTATATCTATAGTTATACCTCTATAAGAGGTCAAATTACAGCTAGCCAATAATATTAAACACCCTTGTTGCTATAAGTTAAAGTAAATTATCTACAGTTATCAGACCTATTAAATATAATACTTCTCCCTTATAGAATTATTGTTGTTGTTTAATAATTTGCAGAACAAAGGATTAGCCTGTTAACCTACTGAGGCGTGAACAGATTGTTACTGAATCTAGTTATAGAATTAACTGCAACTAGGTAAAGAACTAGCTGCAGCAAGGGTGAACTGTAGGACTTAAGTCTCATAACTAACTGTACTCTTGTCATATCTCCAGTAGACCTCTGAGAAATCACTTTAAATAATATCGTCATAATATCCTCATTTTATGTTAATTAACACTCGTCATTATGTCACTTTAATATGTTACATGACAGTGTTACATGACAGTGTTAATGATACATATCTGTAAGATTATAATATTATAAGTAGAACTAGAGTGTAAACTGTAGAGTAGAACTAGAACGTAGTGTCTAGTAGATGTCTAAAAACCGTGGTGCAAAAGTCGTCGAATAAATTGTTTATTACTGACTACTGAGTTCCGCAATTTAAATTTATATTCTTTTATAAAATGCTCCAATAAAATGACTAACTAGTCTTCAGAATATACGACTCAATGGTGCCTGACTGCTCAGCTCAGCTCTTACTTGCAGACCACTAAATTGTTAAAATTACAGAAACAAAATTGTTGTAGATTAAGCGTATTTTTACAACGGATTTCTCTGAGAAAAAGTTATCTTCCCCGAAATTAGGTTACCGAAATTCCTGACGTACTAATCATTCTTAATCAAATACCTGAAATTTCCCGGCTGACAATATTTTTCTGCAAAATATTTCTAAATATTTAAAGTTCGCTGCTAATTTTTCCTGCTTTGCAAAAAATCAGGGCCGCCACCAGGTTTTCTCCCTTTGTGCCACAGCTCCAAGAATTAAACATTAATGACTATATTCTATAATATCATACTTATATTTATATTTTATTCTAAATACAATTTAAAATTCTCCATCTCCTATTTTCCGGTTTACGACTTAAACTCCAAGTATTTACAAAGTATATGAAGACAGGTTGTCGGCCAGTACTATTATTATTTTAATATATTACTAGCCGTAAGAAGTCTTTTCAGTCACATGACCGTGATTCTCCAACATAACTGGATGATCCCTCTCACTCCTTCTTCTGGTTGCTTCTCTTGGCTACCTCACTGCTTGTAGAGGGTTGTAGAGCGGATGCGAGATGAAGACCGTGTTTACCTTCACTGTGTTTACAGAATAGAAGACGGGCTGACTGCCAGAGTGCCAGATGCTCATGTCTCTCCAGTGTTCTGTCACTAAAAGAAGCTTCTTTAACCGTTCTTTAGAACAATGGTCCTTGTTTTTGTCACGTGACTGCCATGCTCGACTGTGATTGGAGGAGGAGGCTTAACTCTGTCTCTGATTGGTGGTGTGCAGTACTGGCGACATGAAAACAGATGGGAAAGTGGATCTGATGCGGAAAAGTTGGTTATAATGTCAAAGAAGCGTGGTAAGTTGCAACTGTTACTGTCCACTCTCCCGGCTTCTTATTGGCGAAACGCTCGAAACTGTGAGTCCTGATTGGCCGCTGAGTTTGAAAACTCGTCACTGACTGGAAGATAAAGTGGTGATAACCAGTGAGTGAGAGGCAACACTTATATGCTGGCTCTGAGTGCTAGTGATTGTAACTCCAACTCTTCTGACCCCACTTCAGGTGATCTAACATCGCCCTGCAGTAGACCACTGGAGGGTGGTGAGATTCTAACTATGTACAATTCTAGCAGTAACTCTAATGATTTCCCTGCTAGAAGTCTAAACAGGTGGTGTTAGTCACAAATTAACACCGTGTTTATCAGTCGTGACTAACACCACCTCGTTAGAGTTAGAGCTAGAATTGTAGTTAGAATCTCACCACCCTGTAAAGATGAGTCTGGTTGAAGCTAAGCTGTTATGACTCACCACAATAAGTATAAGAATACTCAAATCTCCCACTTTATAGTCGTGTTTGGTATAGATATTATGAGAACAGTAATATTACAGGACTCCTACAATACAGGACTCCTACAATACAGGACTCCTATAATACAGGACTCCTATAAAACAGGACTCCTATAATACAGGACTCCTATAATACAGGACTCCTATAATACAGGACTCCTATAATATAGGACTCCTATATTGTAGGAGTTTGTGAGAGATACGGTAGATTTAGCTGGAGAGCAACTAGTACCGTGTGAAACCTGCACACTGGTAGTGATACTGTAGTCTAGTGGTAGTGGTAGTGACTGTCTCTCAGTTTACTAGTGTTTCTTCTTGGTCACGTACACTGCGTTCCTGGACCATGAACCGTGTCTAGATATGTGTGTTTAGATATAAGTGGTAGTGTCACTACCACTAGATATTAGTGGAGCATATATACCGTATCTATCCAGATGGTATCTTAGCAACTGCAGATGGTATCTTAGCAACTGCACATGTGTTCTCCTACTTACTAGCGCCCAGCTTAAATTTATCACAAACCCTTAAAACCCCTGCTGTCATATATCAAAATATGATCATGGCTTAAACCAACAATATTAACTATGTCTTCTTAAGTTAACTTTAAACAACGACTTCGTAAAATAATACCCATTAGTTTTTAGATGAACTGTCTGCACTCCGTATCAAGATGTGATAAACGTGTTTACAGAATATGATACAGAGTGTGACACACAGATATAAAGAGATAAAAGAAGAGTTAATTAGACTGAATTGAGACACTACTCCTACCTTAATTACACTTTAAACACAATTAAACAATGTACACAAGTTTGATACAGTTAAACTGAAGAGTTACTCTCATCTTTTAAGTAAAACGTAACGGAGTGGGATGTTTTGAGTGGGAATATACATATTTGTATATTTGGAGACATTGTATATTTGGAGACATTGAAGAGTAGCAAGTAATATTGTAGTAGTAGTACTAAAGATGTCAATCTATTAGCATTTTAAATTAATATTTTAAGAAAACTTTAAATGAAATATTTGAACTTGTAGTATTAGTGTGTAGTACTAGTATTATAGATGCTGAGTGTGTTGGCGCCGGCACGTAACACTGACTAAGCGTCTGGCAGGATCTAACATTTCCCCAGAACTCCACAAGATGTCTGTGTAGGGTTTTACTTACTGGGTCTAGTCGGTTCCTACTCCCGCCAGGGTCCTCTAGAACCTGCTAACTCTGAAGTCAGGTAGAGTGTGGGGTGGACAGTGAAGTAGTCAGTAGAGTGGAGTAGTCAGTGAAGTAGTCAGTGAAGTAGTCAGTAGAGTGAAGTAGAGTGGAGTAGTCAGTGAAGTAGAATGTGAAGTACTGAGTGACCTAGTCGTGTAGTGGACTAGATGTGGGACTTTACAATACGTGACCTACAATACGTGACCTACAATACGTGACCTACAATACGTGGTATGTCTATAGAACTGGAAGTGGTAGGAGCCAGGAACTACCCATAAACCTCGGCATTGTAAGGATATACTGCATGAAGTTAGCCGGTTTCACAGATAATGTGGGCTTTATGGGTTCTCGACACGTACTACTTTATGTTTCGACACAACAAACCCTAAAGTTCCATTCTGTCGAGTGCCCTACCTAGACTCTAGCTCGACTAAAGAACTTGGACTGTCGATCTATGGTACGCTACCTGGACTCTAGTTCGACAAGTACCGAAGTTGTCGAACTAGAGTATGACGTACGTGAATCTTCGGACTATGAGAAAGTGTGAGACATTTCTCAGTGAGAACCAGAACTGTGAATACCAGTAGTTAGTACCATTTGTACTGTGGGGTAGAGTTGCACAAAACACAACACACTGGAACAGGAAATCAATAAACTGTAGCTTATTGCCTAACCAGCTATACCATTACCGCCATTTGGCTCTATTAAACCTACAATAACATAGCTTATTAGTGGCTAAATTACATTTTGTATGTACTGAGACTCACTGCTCCGGGGAACTGAAGTTGGAGAGTCCTGCCTGTTAGAGGGGTTTTCACCACGGGTTTCTAATATCAAAGATAGTGGGATCTCTGATAAGACAACTTACATCCTTGTTCACCCAGCCAGGAGGCCATGTACCTCTCAGTTCACTGAGTAAGGAAGTCGCTGATCCGAATCAATCCCCACAGTTGAAGGGTTTTACAACGAATCAACAATTAAGAGTCACATTCATCCTCAAGGTCACGTACATCCTCAAAGTCATGTACATCCTCAATTCCCTTATCATTCTCTTCTTGTACTTGCGAATAACAGAAGTACAGCTTTTTACAACTCAACTTTTACCACTATACTATCAGGTTCTTTAAAATTTAATCTAACCGGAGATCATTAGAAATAATATCCCCTTTATATTACATACCACCAGATAAACTCTGCTACATTGTCCCACGGTAACGGGGCTACTAGTTATAGTAATCTATCAACACCTATAGAGGGGGTTTAGGGGCCGGGTATAATATGGGACATATAGGGGTATAGGGGGTATAGGAGGGGACTGTTCACAGGACTATTAACGATTACGTAGTCTGGGTTAGTGTCGACTTTGCAGTTTGGACACCAAACCAATTGGTGTGATACAACTCTCCCCTATTTTATAGTCACGTGATCTAACTTGTATATTTTGTTGGTGTACTACTCACCCGATTATTGGATGTCATCACACGTCAAAGCTAAAGGTTCATCACAAGATGCTCTAGTAATTGATAAACAGGCTCTAACAAACCACCCCACATCCATCATCACTTTCACTCTCACTTTCACTCTCACTGGCTAGATATTTTATACATGTACAGATGTTGTAGAATGATGATCACATTGTGGTCAAATCCGACCCTTCTTCAAGAGAACACTCCAGAACAATGAAGTAGCCCTACAGTGAATGTAGTGTCTCTGTTTTGTCGTGTTATAGCGTAGACGTGTTGAGGGAAGGTTTGGTATAGTAGGGTTTACGGAGGGCTGGTTCTAGAGCTGTTGAAAGGTTTCAGTTCAACAACCTTAACCAACCTTATAATATTATGTACTTTTTAAAAACTGCCTGTAATATAAGATATACCTTAACCAAATTGAGATGTAAGGCAAGATATCCTGAGAACAAGATATATCCTGAGAACAAGATATCCTGAGAACACAATATCCTGAGAACAAGATATCCTGAGAACACAATATCCTGAGAACACAATATCCTGATAACAAGATATCCTGAGAAATCAAAATGAAATGAAAATGAAATGAGAACACAATATCTTAATAATAATACGTATCTCTGACCTTTAACTGCACTATCATGAAGTAAAAACTTATTAATTCTGAAGAAGATACTCATCCCGATCATGGCACATGTTTTAAATTCCTTGAGATCTTTCTGGAGAGTTACAATTTGTCCCGGCGAAATATCTCTGATAGCGCTTGAATGGCTGTTTTGTTATTGTCATCTCTTAGCCAGACTGGTGTCCGTTAATATTCCGCTAAGTTTATTTTTAAAATCATTGAAGTGTATCGGCAGACAGGAGTGCGTGTTGAACTGGTCTGTGCTGGGTCTGTACTGGGTCGCACTAGCCTCAGTGCAGCTAGACACATATTTGAGACGCTGCTTCCAGTAAACTTTGAGAAGTAGAATGGAAGAACTCTTGTCAATTTAATTTGGCAGCGACTCAAGTATGTTACCGGCCGTAAAACTGGTAAAAACCCGGATATCGTAGCATTGTTTGCGAATATTTAGTATTTACTAACATTTACTGTGCTGTTTATCGGCTTAATTTAATATCAAGATACTGAGTTATCAATGCCGTCTGAACAAAAGTGGCATGTTGGCACTGGGCCAGAGCCCTAACATCTACCAATGACAAACTCCTAGCCCTCACACGTGACTATTAATTACCAATCCAAGAGCACATTTCAATACATATAATTATCATCTGATCTCTGCCGACGAATGAACACTGAATTGTATCTTCCTTTATAACGAGTTCATTGTCGTATCCCCACAAAGTCAGTTTTACCCAAATATAAGTTTCTCGGTTGTGCTACATGAGCGGTTCTGTCAAATTAATATTAAGTAACCCAGCTCTAGTAAGAAACAAACCTAGTTAATGTAAAGAAGAAGGGTGTACTTCATACTTACTGTTTAGGACTATATCTTTATTCTCTGTAAATACCGTTCAATTAATGTTCTCTCCTATTTTGTGTGTAGCATTGCTGCCACAAATGTTAAATGAAATTTTAAACATATTTAAATACTCAGTAAAGTTCCATAACTCCGATTTAACCCTCTTAATAAACTCTTAGGGGTTGTAAAGAGCACATATTTGATTAATATTGTCCAAAAATAGCAACGTTCCAGAAATAGCTATCCAGATCTTTCAGTAAATGGTGTAAAATCGAGTCAGCGCATTTACAGATTCCTGTGTCAGAATGTTCCAGCCAAAAATAGATTGCCAGAATATTTGTATTATATCCGTTTTATGAATGATCCGCCGTTATTAATATTATTTTAACATCAAATAGGTTATTTCTGCTAAAGAACTAACTAATTATGACTTAACAAATAGAGATGTCCCCCTAAACCCTATAAAAGTATAATTAACCCTGTGTTATTTGTCAGGTGTGAAGAGCAGTATAGGTAAACTACCCACCTACACGGTTACAGAACAAGTATCCTTTACCGACCACCCTTATGAGCTGCCACCTGGCGAGGACGAGGATTCTCAGGTAATTAACTAATTTGTAATTAACTAATTAGTAATTAGCATTATCGGTAATCTTTCTTCGCTCTTAAGAGTGGGTCGATCAGTGTACAACACTATAAATCTATTACATTTATTGAGCTATGTAAGTTGTTGTAACGTTACGTCCTGTCTATGACAAAGGCGTGTTGCCGAAACGTCGACAACTAATTGTTTTGAAACACTGAGTGGAGACTCACTTCGTCACCAACTATCAAACTATAATTAGCATTATCGCTTTTTAATTAACCAATTACCTCATTTATTATCTATCTATGTGATCTATTAATTCTCCTTTCTTTTCCTGGGTTCGGCCGTCTGTATGTCTACCATAATGTTACATAACGAAGATTATGTGCGATATTATTTTAATTTTTGGACTTTTTTACTTGTTGTGCTCTAAATATTATTCCTGGGAACATGACTAGAATGTAATTAAAGAATTTAGTATAACTTTAGCAAGTAATCTCAAGGGAATACTACACACAGTAACTAGCTTGGAGTTTCTCTATCCCGCATTAACACGCTATTATTACTCAAATTTACAACTTGGAAATGTAGCTTTCAACCAGACAGTACTAAGAAATGTATTCAAAATAAAATATATATCTGTGTGACAAAATAAAATATATATCTGTGTGGCACCATTTTAAGAGGCTCACCGTTTTATTTTCAGTTGTCTCCGTTAACTCAGCCTGAAGCTGAGACAGAGTTTGAGAGACTTCTCGAAAAGATGAAGTATATGGGCGAGGTGAGTTCCTTTTAAATACTTTCCTTGTGTTTGACTTTAGATATAATATGCGGATAATATTAACTGCCCCCACAAATATACTCGGGTACCATGAGTAGTTTGGCAGTGTTACTACGTCCGGAGAGCAGCAACATTTCAATATGACACTTTACATAATTACATTGCCAATATTTTAATATGATATTTTGATTAGATCACAGCACATCAGCGGATCATTTAGTTGTCGAACTCAATAAATGACCGCGCATCGCAACTATTTAGCAAGCTGCATTTAACGAATTCTATTGATAAAACTATGTTAGGTTTAAGTTATGTTAAAAATAGAATGTGAGGATTCCACGGAGCGACCTAAAACTTGCTATTTAGCTATTTCTCATCATGATCTTAACAGCATCTTCGTGTGAAGAGTGCACGTGTTCACAATTAGAACATCTAATAGCATAGCTTATCTAATAGCACGCCTAGCTACTAGCTTGGCTTATCTGCACAAGCTCAATTACCGATCACACCCCTCATTAGGGCGTGTTAAATTACCCTTCTCAACACGGTTAATTGTAGTTATAATTGATTGCTTGATTGCAGCTCGGGGAATTATCCGCGTGAAGAATGTGATCATCGTTAAGCTATATTTTATTTTTACAAACTGAAGTTTTAAAAATAAATTGGTCAATTAGTTATTTAATTGACTTCTATCAAGGGAAGTTCATCAGGGGAATTTGAGGTCCCCTGTTCTTGCTGTAGAGCAATCATGTGTAAACTGGCACGTGCCGGATCTGATGTAAGTAAGCACGTGCAAGTTATGCACGTGCACGTGCAAGCGCGCAACTCTGAGTTATATTGATCCTGATTATTGCATGTTAGCCTTTATTTAGACCAGTAATGTAACCCAACAGATAAAGTATAAACATTATACACACCAATGTTTGTGTGGGAATTTGTACTCTTTACTTACGAGAGTTAGTATTATTATGAGATAGTTATGTTATGAGATAGTTATGGTATGACAGTATGACGATAAGACCCACACTGCATCTGACATGATGCAATGTTAAAGCCACAAAAACTCCTGCACGCTTATGAATGCAGTTTTGTTGCAAGTAATAAATAAGTAATTACGCAGACAGGGCCTGTTTAAAAATAGCGCTACTGCCAAGGCTTCTCTGCGAGGTGCTCACTAATTCTCCCTCGCTGTGAATTCTTATAGACAAAGATAATTTTAACTTGCATGATTTAACTATTAAATATATCTAGAAATAGAATGTTTCAAGCGAGGAATTTCAAATTTCAGTTGCAAATTCGCTAAAATATAATAAACTTTTGCACAAATCCGTTGACAACAAAGCAAACAAATAACAAAATTTACGCTGAGCTCCAAATTGTGAATACTTGACAACAAAAGTTTTTAAATTGTCAACATTTTCTTTGAATGATATACCCTTTTGTATGAGACCCGGTCTAAATGAGCGAATTTATTTAATCAGTGACTATCTGAATGAATTGATACTGAATGTTGTCACAGGAGAATATCTTGATCGGAACCCACGTATGAACATAATATTTTTATGTTTAATATCCGTATTAAAATATTTCCTTGTGTTTCAGAGCCAGGTAAAGCAAGTGCTGAGCTCCCCGACCCTGTCTCATAGCTCCAAACCTCTCTCTAACCCACTAACTAACCTCTCCTCTCCTTACCATACCTCCATTGCTATACGCATCAACAAGACTCTTCACGAGTACGCTGAGAACGTGAGTAAATTACTTAAATATGGTAATTATGCGAGTTAATTGTATAATTGTGTAGTGATTATTCTTGTCTATACCCCTATTTGTTAATTACTGAGACAAGCGATCCAGTCATGAGGGTGTTATTATATTAAAGTTGTTATTTCCTGGAAGAAACTGTTTAATTAATCAATTAATTGGCAACATACAATATACATGCTGTCTGTCATTTAATAATTAAACACGCCTAGTGCCTACCACAGTTGCATCCTGCATATTGCATGAATATAAAAAATATCATACCCGATTTTATTTGGAAATATCAAAATAACTTACACTACAACTCTTTACTGCTAATATAATCTATAAATAGCTCAGTTCCTTACAAACCCCATCCCTCCAGCCACGGGACCTGTACAACGCATCACGAACCCTCCTCACCCTGACCAGCGTAGAACTGGTTAACGAACTGTACTGTCAGCTACTGAAACAAACACACAGACAATCTCGTGAACACCTTGCTTACTGGCATGTACTGGCTACTGTCATCCCTTTTATCACTCCTAAAGGTACTGTTACTAGTGTCGTTACTATAGTATATATAACTGTAGTATAGTAACTATAGTGTGTACTGTTTATTGTTTAAGTTAGGTGGAATTGATATAATCATGGATCGTTAAAAGTTATAATTTTGGCAAACTTATTCCTTTAAAATTGTCCCTTAAATCTTGTGATTTCATCACATCCTGGTGTTTTATTAATAAAACCTCCTCTAATAACTAATAAAACCTCCTCTAATAACTTTACTATCAGGTCGGGTGATGTCGTATTTAAAAGCGCACCTGGAGAGGTACTCTGAACAGAAAACTAACGCTGGAAGATTCGCTGGGTACTGTATTAAAGTGCTCAAGAGATGTCTAGGTGGGTTTAGTAAGTAAACTATATTTGGGGTATTTAGTTAAGTAAAATTAATTGTTGTAGCGGGGTATTGTAGTTTCATTGTAACTGTGGGTAACTAACATCTCATTTTAGTGTGGTTAAAATTCCACCAAAAAATAAAAATTACACAGTCTGTTTTTATAATATTGCTTGTGGTCTGAATTAGCTGAAATTCGTGTGGGTTTCTACGTAATTTCGAATTTACTGTCAAAATCAGACGATAACTTAAAAATAGCTTCAAAGCCACATACCAATTGTCCCAATTATGAAACTGTTGATTTAACTCTGATACGTCAATTAATTACCTATTAATTATCTAATGTACTTATGTGAACTGTATACATAAATAGGAACTTCACTACTAGTTAAATTGAAGTAGTTCGAGAGAAACCGGGTAACCGGTGAAACGTATTATATGAATTAAACAGATCAATAATAGCTTAAATTGGAACATATTATATGAATTAAACAGATCAATAATACGCTTAAATTGAAACAGATTATATGAATTAAACAGATCAATGATACGCTTAAATTGAAACAGATTATATGAATTAAACAGATCTATAATAGCTTAAATTGAAACATATTCTATGAATTAAACAGATCAATATTACGCTTAAATTGAAACATATTATATGAATTAAACAGATCTATAATAGCTTAAATTGAAAGATATTCTATGAATTAAACAGATACATAATACCTTAAATTGAAACATATTCTATGAATTAAACAGATCAATAATACGCTTAAATTGAAACATATTATATGAATTAAACAGATCTATAATAGCTTAAATTGAAAGATATTCTATGAATTAAACAGATCAATATTACGCTTAAATTGAAACAGATTATATAAATTAAACAGATCTATAGTAATAGCTTAAATTGAAACATATTATTTGAATTAAACATATCAATAATAGTTTAAATTGAAACAGATTATATGAATTAAACAGATCTATAAGATGCCTAAACATGATAAGTTAAAGTAATAATGAATTATAATGTGCTTAAATTGAACTGTAAAAATGTAAAATCAAAAAACGTACTGCATCAAATTTTAAGCAATCGAAAACTATAGGGTTAATACCCAAACTTTTTACCACGTTGACATTTAGTTTGTTGTGAATGCTGGAAATGTTATGAGAAGAAGTTTTGTTAACACTACATTATTAATATTGTTGTTAATACTGTTGTTAATATTGTTGTTACTACCTCTGGTAACCCCACCCTCCTCCCTCAGCGTTTGGTAAGAGACAGCACCACCCCTGTAGGTTAGAGATAGAAGCTACCTGTGGTAAACCCTACCTCCACAGCAAACCTATGAGTATTCCTATACACTTACCTGGGGGAGACTACCAAGTTACTGGTTAGTTTTACAGTTTACACACAGCCACCAGTTAGTTAGTCTTACAGTTTACACACAGCCACCATTAGTTAGTTTTACAGTTTACACACAGCCACAATTAGTTAGTTTTACAGTTTACACACAGCCACAGTTAGTTAGTTTTACAGTTTACACACAGCCACAATTAGTTAGTTTTACAGTTTACACACAGCCACAATTAGTTAGTTTTACAGTTTACACACAGCCACCATTAGTTAGTTTTACAGTTTACACACAGCCACAATTAGTTAGTTTTACAGTTTACACACAGCCACAATTAGTTAGTTTTACAGTTTACACACAGCCACAATTAGTTAGTTTTACAGTTTACACACAGCCACAATTAGTTAGTTTTACAGTTTACACACAGCCACCATTAGTTAGTTTTACAGTTTACACACAGCCACAATTAGTTAGTTTTACAGTTTACACACAGCCACAATTAGTTAGTTTTACAGTTTACACACAGCCACAATTAGTTAGTTTTACAGTTTACACACAGCCACCATTAGTTAGTTTTACAGTTTACACACAGCCACAATTAGTTAGTTTTACAGTTTACACACAGCCACAATTAGTTAGTTTTACAGTTTACACACAGCCACAGTTAGTTAGTTTTACAGTTTACACACTACACAGCCACAATTAGTTAGTTTTACAGTTTACACACAGCCACAATTAGTTAGTTTTACAGTTTACACACAGCCACAATTAGTTAGTTTTACAGTTTACACACAGCCACAATTAGTTAGTTTTACAGTTTACACACAGCCACCATTAGTTAGTTTTACAGTTTACACACAGCCACAATTAGTTAGTTTTACAGTTTACACACAGCCACAATTAGTTAGTTTTACAGTTTACACACAGCCACAATTAGTTAGTTTTACAGTTTACACACAGCCACAATTAGTTAGTTTAGAATTTACACACTACACAGCCACAATTAGTTAGTTTTACACAGCAAACATTTTATTATTATGATCAATTTGCTACTAATATGGTCAATGTTGTTTTAGATTATTTCTTACTATCTGTTTCACCTCCTAGATACAATAATGTGTCCTGAACGCATACAACAAGGTATTAAACCTTTAAACACGGTCTGATAAACCATTGTTAACGGGATATTTAACGGAATACTTATCCCGCATAATAACATGAGACTACACGTCATAAAGTAGTGTAATTACCACTAGTGACTACACTAGTAGCTACTACGCGTAGTGTTACTGTATGTTACCACACAGAGCTATAACGGTAAACATCTCAATAACATTAAACAACACGTGTGTGTGTGAGAGTGTATAATATTACACCGGAAATACGAGTGTATAGTTCATACGAACATCACAAGTCTAAACTAGTCCGCTGTCACGTGGTACTAGTCCGCTGACACGTGTTTTGAATGTCGACTAATTGCTCATCTGACGGTGAGAGAATCGTCTGTAAAATCATTTCCGGCTTCAAATTCTTAAAATTATCAACGGAAATGTCGGCGATTTGGTAATTATTTGGTAGCACTGGGCGGTGTTTTGCTGGAAGAAAAATGGTAAATAAATTGTGAGCACTACGGACAGAGCTGGATTACACCGTAAATAACAAATAACGGGCTAATCTCAATAAGTTTAAATGTATTTGACCAGTTTTAAAACTAAAATAACTTTTCTCAAGTTATTTTTAGACTCTGCAAATGCTTAAAACATTACAGTTTACACAAAGCTTTAAAACGCACTTGAAGTAAGTCACTCTGAATATAATTAATTTAATAAACCCCACGTGCTACCCCACGTGCTACACCACGTGCTACACCACGTGCTACCCCACGTGCTACCCCACGTGCTACCCCACGTGCTACCCCACGTGCTACACAGAGTATAACCCCTGCCACTTGCCAATGTGTTATGTCATAGTAAAACCCACTTCCGGACGAGTAAATATACCCTGCACAACAAGAGACAGGACTGGGTAAATATACCCTGCACAACAAGAGACAGGACTGGCCGAGTTCTGTTAAATTAATAACAAGTGACAAGTGAGAGTAGAGTCTAGGAGTACCTTGCCCACCTCTGACTCTACAACTCAGGGAGCAGGGTGGGCCGACAAAAGGGGCAGTGTTTAGTGCTCTCCTTGATGAGATACACAGTTGTGACTGATTCAGGGAACTGTAGTTCTCACATCTCTCCTCATGTGGAAGTTTCTAACCTTCTAAATACATTAAAATACGAGATCGGGAACTTCACACCATTACCTGACTCTGTGAGATGTTAGAGTGTAATATCATACCTAAAATTGGGATTAGCAGTTTTTAAATAGTGAGTTCCCGGAGGATACAAATTGTAGTCTGTAATTTGAAAGTGCGCAAAGTTACAGCTGCAATAATGCTAATGTTTAATATGTAATATTAATCGTAATAATCGTAATAATAGTAGTAATAATCATGCCATCTGTGTAATGTTAAGTTCGTTAAACGTAGCTTATCAGGCCTGTAATAATCACACTGCTGGAACACAATATTAAGGTTACGTAATGGTACTGTAGACACTAGCTCTATAACTTTAATCCTAATATATAACTCTCACAATCTCTTTTACAAATATTAAACTTGTTTAAGCAGCTCAAATAGCTTTATAATCAATGTTTGAATTTTCTAAATTTCTAATTATCAATTCCTCTTAGGTTTTGATACAGTTAGCAGCGTAGCAGAAGTGATAAGGGACGTAGAGTCTCAGCTTGGTCTCCGAAGTTGCAGGTCAGATATTTACACGATTACTTCAATATTAGATTATGTCTGCATAATATCTTCTTTTAAAGCTTTTAAATACAAGCTTTATCATGATCTGGGAATTAATATTATTTCTAATTAAAATTTAATTTATTTTCACAGAAATTCACGAAAGATCACGCATTACTCACTAGAATTTTCACCATTTGCATTACTCACTTCTGCTCATCTCCTATCATTTGCCATGTTCGTAATGTTTCCCGCCTTTTTGTCCGCCCCTCCCCCTTATTGCTAACGTCATCTTAACATATTATGGAGCTGTAGAGTATGATGAGGGTTTTGTAATACTCATAAATATCTTATTATCAATATTCCGTGAGGGACAGAGCATAAGTAAGTTACTTATCGCTCTATAGAAATATCCTAAAAATTATCGATAAGAAATGGAAATTGTTTTAACCCAGACAGTCTACACGGGAAATTGTCTGAGACAGGATCTACTCACCCTCAATATTATGGGTCTCAATAAATCAATATGGTCCTCAATATGGGTCCTATTATTATGGGTCTCAGGTTTCTTATTCTTCGGTTTCCTGGTGAAAGTCTGAACCTTGAGTCGGTGTTAAATAAATGCTAGGTTTTGATTGATCGGGGAATGCTGAGTAAGATAGATTGGGTGGTGAAGAAGAGCCCAGTGTCTGGGCCCAATCAGGTTCCAGACACTGAGTTCTCGTTCGCCATGGGTCTCAGTGATTGGCTAATTTGTATCACGTGCACGGCGAATCATGTCCATGCGAGTAGGCTACTACTCACGTTTACACACTGTATGATGATGCTGAATGCTCTGTAAAAGAAGAGCAGTAATTGGTTATCTATTTGCTATTGGTTATTTAGTACTCAGCCAAGCCTCCTGAAGTCCACTGAAACTGGAGTAGGGATGTATTAATTGTATGCCCAATTAAAAGAAGTAAACCAAGCTTCTTTTCCTAATTTATCACGAAATATGATCTGTCTGGTCATGGTGGCGCCCGTCAACAAAGATTGCGCTCCTCCACAATACTCCCCCTAAGATAACTGATTCCGGAGTACCCTAACTCCGGGGCAACTTGATGACGTCATCACAGCACGCTCCGGGCAGTAACTTGATGACGTCATCACAGCATGCTCCGGAACATGCCCTAAAGTAAAGTATAATTAGAATTACAGGAGGCTAATCTCATAAAACCCGCACGTGGGCTTTATAACTAGATTAAGTAATTATAGGGTTTATCACATGGGTAACGCTGAGTAACAATGGGTAAAGTTGGCTAAGTGTAAAGTGGGGTTTTCTTGGAGGAACCTGACGTTACAACACTAATATAAGGATATCATGACGTAGTGTGTAAAACGGTAAAAACTTGTAATTCACTGCGATTATCTTCTAACAAAATAGATTAGTTTACATAGCGTGATGAAGGAGGATGTAAATGTTACTGGTATGTGATTAATGTAGTGACTTTGGTGTGTAATGTCACACAAAAAGAGAGTGTGTGGGGGTTGTTAGCAAGCATTAATATTATTAATGTTATATTACCCAATATGTTGTTACTCTCTGTTCGTGATATAGTGGCATGTAATCTAACTTGTGTAGTGTTATCTAATTTGTAGTTCCCATTTGAAAATGTAGAATACTGCAACTGGTTCTGAGCTGTTATATTTTTAATAGATATCACCATCTTATATATTATCAGTAACCAATATTTCTTTAACTTACATAAAACGCCTGCTCGATCCTTCCCATGACCATCAATACATTACTCTCCAAAGTCGCAGTCTGCAATATTGACTACTCTTAACTATAAATAAAATAACAGATCTGCTAAGATACAGAACACACCTGCTGTATTCTACTGTAAACAGCTGAAACTAGACCTGCACTGTTATTCCACTGTGTGTAACAGCAGCTGAAACAATGTCACGTGATAACAGCTGAAACAATGTCACGTGATAGCAGCTGAAACAATGTCACGTGATAGCAGCTGAAACAATGTCACGTGATAGCAGCTGAAACAATGTCACGTGATAGCAGCTGAAACAATGTCACGTGATAGCAGCTGAAACAATGTCACGTGATAGCAGCTGAAACCAGCTGGAAACTAGACTCTGGACACTAACTCACAATACAGACAGTGGGGGAGTGCTGAATGTTACAGAATATAAACCCTGGTTTGACATGACACACTACATAATATATACTCTACTTGACTCTCACGTAGTTTACTATATTGACTCTATAACCAGACCTGTAAAAGCGGAGAGCCGACAAAGCACCCCATTCATTTTAAAATAGCCCAATAATGACATATTCTATTAAACTATGATTTAGTTCTGCTACGAGGCTGGTACAGAGATCAGAGTATATTTATCCGACCTGGTCTACTAAGTGAAACTATGGAACCCACCAAGTGTAACTATAGTAACCGTGCTTATGAGCTAATGACGGTTGTTACTAATGTTATTATACTATTGACTACTTTAGTAATTGGTGTGTTCGCCACTCCCTGCAGCCAACAAAACATCTCCAGTTTACTTTACACATAGTGTAGATATAAAGTATAGTATTAATTAGCATTCTATAAAGTATAACTTGAATTCTGTAAAGTATAATTTTAAATAGCATTCTTATCATTAGCATGACATTAAATTACTTGTCAATTAAGATGTCAAGATTTATTGGGGTGATGTACAGGATTAAACATAAATTGCCAATGAAGGCCCGTTTACAGATTTTCCAAAGTTTTGTTCAGTCCCATTTAAACTTCTGCTCACTTGTCTGGAAATTTGCTTCAAAATCTCTTATAGAATCTCTTTTTGCTAAACAAAAACAAGGTATGAGGGCAGTTATGGCCGGAAATGTGAACTACTACTACAAGGACGGAAAACTGCCAGAGCACACAAAACTAGCATTTAAAGAACACGAGGTCTTAACCGTTCAAGGGGTTATCGTTAAAAACGCACTTATTTTACTGCACAAAGTTCGAAATATGTCTAGTTTGTTACCTAAATCGATTTCAGAACTTTTCCCTCCTAACACACCCAAACAAGGAACGACACACGAACAAAACTTAGACTGGTTATCAATTTACTCACAGACTGACCTGAGATCTAGCATCTTTTATAAAGGCCCAATGCTCGCTATTTCAGAGCATAACACTCGCATTACATGCCCATCCAGTATATTTTCTATCAACATATATAAGAATTCGTCAAAAAAAGTACTACTAGACTTGCAAAGTGCTGGCTGCAACGACGAATGGCCACCATTTTTACTCCACAACCTACCTGGATTACGTAAATCACAAAGAACATAGTCAATAATCACTCAAAACCAAACTCATACAGCTCAAATTAAACAATCTGAATCAGGACAACATTTCAAACCACCTGCCATTCTAACAGCACATTCCTTATTTCACTGCCACATAGCGCATATCTACACTGATAACACACCTAATTGCGGTGAGGCAGCATCATAAAGTTACCAATATCAAATATGTTTGCAGATCAGGGCCAGTCGACTCGACCAATAAAATTTTAATCGAATAGTTTTAATAGATAACATCACAATTATAATCTGCGTGCCCCTCGGGGATGAATATTTAACTTATTTCAATTATATATTACTTTTGAGTAAACATTGGCTGGTACTACGGACCAGTCCCCCAATCAATCACTTTATTAAATAACTTAATAAACATGTCTCATATTATCATAACGTTAAAATTTAACACGCTCCTTGATTTATAGTTCCAAACTTTGTTATTTTCCACCGGTTTAAATCCACATTTTATACAGGCTACAATCTGACAACTTATTTTGGGGAACCGGATATTTAAACAAACGTGAATTGTAAATGAATAACCCACGAACCTTTCAACCAATCCATTACGGGGCTATTTCTGGCATCTTGCCCTATTCTAAATAATAGCATATATAATTAGAATACCTTGGTGATCCGTATGTGAGACTGTAACTGTTACCATTCCTCCACCACCTGCCCACTATTAGCGCACACAATTAGAACTTACATTTACACAGAGTCCAGTCTCTACAGCTGCTGGTATCATCTTAACATACCAAATTAACTCATATTGTTCTAGAAAACATAGCAAATCAGTTCACATTATTCTAGCGTTGAGGTTCTAAATTAACTTAAGTTTTCTTGGAAACATTACAGCCGGTTCTGGAAAATCTAAAATATCCCAAATATCCAGCTGTGCTCCATATGTTGGTTATTTAAACACTATTTCCTCTCAGATGGAGTGGTTACACGCTATTTATGGACGATCCTATAAACCCAGGAGTCAAGGTCCCTATAAACCACTCCTCCAAGATATGTGACGTTATTGCTAAGTGGGAGGGAAATGTTAAACCTAACAACAACCAGGTAATTAATTAAACTTAATTTATTAAATATCATAGTTACCAGATAGTTGTTATATTCCTTTTTAGTGTTACCTGGTAACAACTAGACCCATAGTAACCAGTGTATTTAAATGTAGTAACCAGCCTCCTGGAGCTTGTGGGAATTGTCCTAGCTTTAAAGCAGTGTACTGCACACGCTGCCTGCTGGTTTGTGAGTGGTGGATTGTAAGATGTATAATTTAGGGTTCAGACCCCTGGTAATAGGCGTCCTGCCCTATTTTGACTATTCATAGCTTGGTCATAACAATGCACCTACCATCCTCTTTACTAATTGTTATCTAGCACAATAAAATAACACTGAACTAGCACCCTCCGCCACAATAACACTGAACGGTGTGAAGCACCAGAGGGCACTTCTTTAATAACTCCTCCTCCTCCAGATCTTGAGCCCCACACTAGGCCCCACATTCCACACATAATTGCAGCATATTACAGAGGGAGGGAAGGGAGGAGGAGGGGGGGGGGGCTGGCACCGTTTACTTGGCACAGTTCAGTGTCGTTAGTCTGGATATAGTGGCGGTTATCATAGCTAACAGTGCTTTGTAATGAAACTATTGTAGTCCAAATGTCTCGTCCTTTACCTGGCAGTGGTTCAGATGAATGATCTGCAGTACACATGATGTTAGAATATGTTAACAAATCAGCGCGCTCGATGCTAAATAAAAAACATAAGAAATCTCTTAAAATTGTAGCTAATCCGATATATTTCAGATACCACAAGTGATCGGTCTGACATATCAGAAGTTTCTGCACCTGACTGCTCAGCACGACTGTGTTTCTCAAGTAGAGTACAAATTGTCAGCACTGCATCTCCATACTCAAGCTATGCAGGGGGTGCATGGTATGGAAATGGAGCTTGCTACTTGCCTCGGTGCTGTAATGGCGCAGGTATGTTATTAACGTGATTTAATGAAGATTCATTTTTACTAGGTTTTAGAATTTACGATAATATGTCCTTGGAGTTTGATCACAATTCATTGCTCTACTGATTAAAGTGACCGCTCCTAGTATATAATTTTTTGAAGCCTGTACATTTTACTCTGACGTTTATTCTTGCATCGACTTCCGTATTGAAACTACAAGATGTTAAAGTTATTGTGATTACATCACTGTGGGCCCACATAACTTTGTTTTTCTGTCTGCAACAATGCTGGCGGCCTCATGAAATCTTGCATTAATACGTATCGCTTGGGGTATTGAAATACTCGGCGTTACCATCCAGTTAGTCTCGCAGCCAATTCTGAAATGTCTGAGCGACCACTGCATTCGGCATAACCAATAACGTCAACATGAATTTAAACTGGTAATACCGCAAAACTGGTTATACCGCAAAATCTTTGTTCTTACTGGAACGCGCGAACATTATTTCTATGCTTAAATTTTCATTTATAGCACGATAATGTGCCATGCGGCGCAGTACGCGCATCGACGTTTTTCTGATATCGAGGTGTCTCGGCATTGATTGAATTAAATCTAATTTATTAACTCATTCGATGATTTCAGGCTATAGAAGGAAACTGTCCTGAGTTTTCGCCGACGAAACCCAACAACGATACCGTCAACCAACTTTCTGATTTTATTGAGAAGTACATTCCTCCGAACATAACTGACAGATGTAAAGATCCCAATTCGAAACTTCGACTGGTCAAAGATTTCGCCGAGATTTGGTCCAAATTCAAAGATGTCTCCAACCAATTTCTGTTTCAGAAATATTACTCTGCTGTAGAACGGTAGGTTGTTATCTAAGGCTAGGCTTAAGAATATATTAATACCTGCCGCGAATAATTAAACAACATGTTCTTGATTCTCTTTTTAACCTTTTGTTGATAAAAAGTTTACAATGAACCTCTGCAGCTGGAAGTACAACAAAAGTACGCTGTTCAGAGGACTTTACAGTCACCCTAAGGACGGACTGAAAGTAGCAGTCTGTTTAAATGTCACTGAAACCAGGCTCACCGTCATCAATGCAGATACTTTGGTGAGTTGTGAAACTGTGAAATAGCAAATCCGTCAACATCAAAGGTTACTGCAACAACTTTCGCATTTTATTTTCTATCGAAATATTATGCAAATTGAACGAAAGTTTAACTGACTGTAATATCAGGTGATAATGGACGCGGTGGATTTAGATAAAATAACAAACTTCGGAGGATATCCCTTTTCTATAACTCTTAGAATAAACAACAAGAACATCAGTATAATGCTGGTGGACAAACACAAGGTTCGTTTCTGGGTATTTTGCTTTTTAAGATTTAATACTACCGTACTGCAAAATAATAATTTTTCCAATATATAATGATGTTTTGCTGTGATCAAAAATCTGATTTGCGATGCGTGGTATTTAAATATTTGCTTTAATATTTAATTTTCCAGTGTTACCTGCTAACAGAACTGCTGGCATCATACTGCAGACTTACCCACGTGGTTACACGTGACAACTCAGTCTAACTGCAAAACATTTCCTTGTGTTTGTTAAATGTCTGATAAATCATCATCTACGGAACTTTTCCCGGTTACCATCAAGCCAAGAGTACAGTGGGAAATTTAACCACTCAAATTACCATTGAGAGTTGGAGACAATTCTTAAATTCTTGTTTAATATAAGTCACGAACTGCCATTAAAACGTCTAACTTTGAAGCTTTGAGTATTGTTTGCTTTTGTTTTGAGAAAGATTAAGGACAATTTCTTTGCGGTTATAGGCGAATATTGTTTGCGTGACATTTACGTTTGAGTTCCATATTTTAATCTTACTGCTAGGAACTCTTGTAAGAGTGCCTAACTTGGTAACCTTGGTAGCTTTGGTACTTTGGCGAAAACTTATCTTGGAATGCGCGTCTTTGTCGATTTGTTGATTTACTAATTTATCTATTATTGATTTTAGGTTTTAGGATTTAGCTTTCAACCTTTTGCATGTTATTCTTTAAAAGCTTGAAATAAACCGGAAGATATAAACATTAAGTACTTCTCTATTTATGTTTCTGATAGGAAAGATATTTAAATCAACTCTATTTAATTTGATCTTCACCAAATTGCTTGTTTAATTAATTGGATGTTTTAACAATTATTAAATTGTATCCTTTGTTGTTTGCTGAAACGTAATTCCATACCAATTAAAATACAAAGTACGTTCACTTTATAAAATTTTGAGGGGGAAAAAGGTACATTATCAGCTATAACATAAGGCATAAGCTGCAAAATTTAAGTGTATTTTGGATTGAGAAAAAGGATGAAGACGATGGAAGTCTCATGTGTGCAGTAACAGTGGTGTTGACCAAATTAATAACTACAAACCGCGAATTACATATAAAGATATAACAATATAAGTTTCTACATTTATGATTTACGTTATATTAATGGTGTCACATATTCGCCCACTCTGCGACAACTAGAACTACAAACTAGCGGTTTACTCCAGCATCCAGAGAGTGCAGGATGATGCCCGTGCGAGAACTTCTCAGATCAATAATCCACGCCTTTGTTTCATTGATCCACCAAACACGTCCCATCTAGGTAACATTTTCATCACAGCTCCTATCTTAGATTACATATTTATAATTATATCAGACGTAACACGGAATTTGATGTTACGGAATATACGAACTTAAGTTGAAATTAAATAAATAAATACCCAGTACAAACCCGAGAGTAAGACCGGTAGAGTATGCCTCATAATTTTTCCTCTTGCTAGCGTTGGACTAAACTCAAAACTGTTATGTAAACAGATCAAACAAGTACGGTCCTCAAATTGGTCCATGTTCACGCGCCGTAAACGTGCGTGGTTAATTACATTATATTATTTGCAGTCCCGCCACGGTGCATTCACAGTAGGTAACTTTAATTATACTTATTCCATTCGGTGCCGCGCTTTCCTGTTTTGTAAATTTTCCCGCCTTATCTGGACAAATAATCACACACCTTTTATTGGGAAAAGTGTTAGATTAGAAATGAAAATGTATAATTTACAAAATGACAAGCAATAAATTGTATAATACTCTCCAAATTAACAATTGGTTACGCTGCAATGATTTGCTATCTTAACCAAAGTAGCTTTTGACTGAATCACAAATTTGGCCCGATTGAAAATTTGAGCGTAACCAATTTTATACCACTCCAAGGTTGAAAACTGTTGAAATCAAACTTAAACAAAAATCTGCCAACTCACATGGTTTTAGATAAATAGCTTAACCAAGCTTACTAAACATAATACCTATTAAGGCATAATAACAGGATCCAAACTACAGAGACCGCCTACTCTAATATAGTGGAGTATTATGTGCAACAAATTATCAAATTAAACAATATGTTCGACTAAGTTTAGGGGACACTTTCATGACTCCAATTATTGACTCTAGTTAGCCCTACATTCTGTAATATGCGTGCAGAATTGCAAAATGGAATTAAGAAAATTGCGATTATAATTTAACAGAAATAAAGTTAAAATCCTGTAGGGTCACACAGGCAAATTTTATAATATCAACAGATTATAAATAGGGTCGGTTGTAATAAAATGTAATCCCAATTTATTGTATTAACTAATTGACGAGGGTCTCACTGATAATTTACAATTAAATTGACGAATTTGTAGAATTAAGTAATATTTAGTGATACAATCTAGAAAATAGAAAGTATCTCAATTATCATTTGATAAAATCTAAAAAACAGAAAGTGTTTTAGTATTTTTCAGTAGCGACATTCTCAACTATAGTATACGCTTTACTCTTTGGTAGCTCATTATCTCTGTCAACTAGGGCTGCTAAATCCTGGTCTGAGAGAATATCCTCTGGGCGGTGTTCTGAAATAGTTAGATAAAATTTAATTTGATTCTAATTATTTATTTGTTACAGTAATAGAACTGAATGTAAGGAGGTAAAGACCCAATCAGACAACTGCACAGCAAGAAGTGTTGATTTGGGCGGCAGCTAGATTACACCCCCAGAGAAACGGCTTATACTTAAGGCGGAGTGTAAGATATCATGTGAAGAATGGACAAGTGGGATGGAATTTGTCAAGGATCGGTTGTAATGTGAACTGTGAAATCAATGACCAACAAGTGTAAATCAGATTAATATGCAGTGGCGGGAATGTCTACAATGCCTAGATCGGGAGAAAAAGGGCGGCAGAATAACCTCTGTAGTTTGTATAGTGTATAATAGTTTCTAGCTCCCTAGGAACTGCAATTTCCAGACAAAATTTTATCCGACAATTTCTGTTCCAGTTAAAGTGGCCCAGATATATTTATATATATTTATTTGTAATTCTCTAGGGTGTACTTAAAGAGAACAGTTATCACAACAAAGATATTTTAATATCAACAAAACGAGGGCCAGGGACCAGTTTGAAGAACAGAGTACTTGTATGAACCAAGTGTAGATGAGTCTAACCCAGTTATTATTTAGACTGGACAAACTGTTTTGATGTATGGATCCTTGAACTGAAAGTTACCTGTATTAAGAGCGTCAAGAGCTTCAGAGTCGAAGAGTTCCTTGAGATCCTCCTCTGATACATTATCAGGACCTTTACCAGCGTGGGACTTGAACTTACCTGCGCAGTAATTGTGTCAACAAACTATTATTTTGTACCGTAAACATTTAGTTTGAAACAACGTAAAATAAGCCAACACGTGTAACATGTGTTACAAGTTACGTGTAACAAGTGTAACAAGTGTAACAGTGTAACAAGTGTAACAGTGTAACAAGTGTAACAAGTGTAACAAGTGTAACAAGTGTAACAAGTGTAACAGTGTAACAAGTGTAACAAGTGTAACAAGTGTAACAAGTGTAACAATGTACGTACCTTTGTGTATAACCATCTTCTCTAGGAACCTCTTACTAATCCCTCTCTCTACAATCTTCTGATCCATGGTATTCTTAGCTAGCAACCTGTAAACCATCACCTTGTTCTTCTGTCCTATCCTGTGTGCCCTGTCTTGGGCTTGTAGGTCACATTGAGGGTTCTGGGGAGATATTGTCATGGTTACTGATGAGGAGATATTGTCATGGTTACTGATGAGGAGATATTGTCATGGTTACTGATAAACTGTCTTGGGAACTGTACAAGCTTATCATCAAGCTTCATGTTGCGTTTAACTGCAACTGTATAATAAAGAGTATCTAACCCAGTCACTGTCGTAAAGAATAACAGTGTCAGCAGCCATCAGGTTAAGACCAAGACCGCCAGCTCGAGTAGAGAGGAGGAATATCTTGTACTGGGGGTCGTTCTGGAACCGGTGTATCTGAAGGGTTAATTACTCTAATTAATGTATTAATTAGTTGATTACTGTAATTTAATAACTTAGTAATCATTTGATCAACTGATTAATTAAATAATACATTAGTTAATTGACAATACTAACGTTCTCATCTCGCAGATCATAAGACATTGACCCATCTAGTCGAGAGTATTTCCAATCGTAGAGAGAGAGATAATCCTCAATTATATCGAGTATTGTAGTCATAGTGGAGAATATTAGTACCTAGATCAGTACACATAGTTAGATAATACTAATACTGTCATCAACATTATAGATATGGTCACAAATGTTCCATTGTTCGAGTTTTCAATTTCTAATTTCGAAAAGATTATTTGCCCAACAGCGTAATTTAATTTTAATTAAGCTTAATTAAATCAAGTTAACCTTATGACCGCCGTTAATAAGTGCAGGTAACATTCTGTGAAGTAGTAACATTTTACCACTGCAGTTCAGGACCTCGTCTGTAATCACCGCATATCCTGGAAATGGGAAGGTCAATTAATCGGACCACAGGTTTCAGACACGTAAATTGTATTGCATTTGTACCATGCCACTAATTATTATGTCTGATGAAAGTAGAAATGTACAGAAATAATACATTAAGGCCGGGGACATACAATACACCAAAACATTTTTTGCCGGGATTCGGGATTCGACTTCATATTATGAAAACGCACTTTCGAAAAAAAATTTCTTTTTTGGAAATTTTGGTAAAGTCTGTCGCTGAAATACCGATTTTTTACTGAACATTACTTACAATCCGTACAAGAAGCCCTCCAAAGGATTATATCATTGAACAATAAATGACGAAGTTACAAACCGAACAAGGTCGAGAAGCAAAATTGAAATTTTTGCCTACTAGTACTATTAAAGTTGTACAATCACCCAGGTCATAAGATATCGCTTCAAAACTTCTTGTGAGTATAGCTGATGATCATATCCAACTTTTTGGGACAGGATTTCTCTTAATTTTGAGTTCTAAGGTATGAAATCTGGCCTAAAAGGTCTTAGTAAAATTCATGTAAAAAAGGGCCAAAAACGGCAGATTTAAGGCACGCGCGAGGAATGCTTGTGGAGATATGATGTATAGATAGCTTGTGGTCAATGAATGCGCGGCGCGAGTGTATTTTAATGTATACTATGTAATGTATAATATTAAGTAATAAGCCCAATTTGTACGTGGCACACGTAGTGTACTGATGTGTACATGAGTATATTTATAGTTTACTTTTGCTAACAATTTCTTAAATTACAGATACAAATTAAGTTCTACGGCAATTGAATTGAATTTCAAGTGTTTCCCGTATTTTATGCATAATTTATCAATATTTGATATTATTATTATGAAGTGAGCTGATTAGAGCTTATACTTAAAGCTATAGTGAATGGAAATCTAGCGTCCGCCAAAACGGAACAACAGGCGCAATTCTTGTTATTAATTAAACACTAACAACTCACCATCAGCATCACACGGGTACTTGATAAGATAAGGGTGATTACAACACTTCTTCAGCTGAACCCACATCATCTTCAGAGCTGAAGTTATCACATTCTTCCTGCCCTGTGACAGCGCTTTAGAACCACTGAACGCTTTATAGATATCCTCTTTAACCCCAATAGAGCTCCACTGGGAGGGGTCTACAAACCCGTTAGCATCATTCACATCCTCCATGTCTTCATCGTAATTAACCTGCTTCTTTTTCCTCAACCCCCTCTCATTCTTCTCCAACACCTCTTTTACTCCACTCTCCTCAGTGATCAGTTCGAATATCTTCTTCTCCAGAATAGCCTTGTAATACTTCTCCTGCAGCGCCGTCATGGTGGCGTACACGTGCACTTCTACTTTGGGAGGTATCTTCAGCTCTACGTCTGTCTTCAGTCTCCTCAGGAGAAACGGACTCAGAATCTGGTGAAGCTTTGATAAAACCTGACCCTCTTTTTCATTTGCGATTATCTTTTCTTTACCGCCGTCTTCCGAAAGAGCAGAGAAGTCAAACCACATCTGAAAAGCATTGAGATCGTCGAAAACACTCGGTAAGATGAAGTTAAGAAGAGACCATAACTCTGAGAGGTTATTCTGTAGTGGGGTTCCTGTAAGTAGGAGTCTGTTATCAGAGTGCAGACCTTTCAGATGTTTTATCAGGGTGCAGTTTATGTTCTTGATCTTGTGTCCCTCGTCCACGATGATAAACCTCCACTGAAAGTTGGAAAGGAAACTGTATTCCAAAGAGATCATTTCATAACTGGTGATGACCACTGGATAAGTTTTGTTGCTATTTTGTTGTGCTTCGATCCGCACGTCATACTGTTTCTTAATGTGCTTGTAAAGTTTTGGTCGCTCAGTCTTAGAAGCATGGAATAGGACGGTTGGTATTGATGGAGCGAAGTTATCGAACTCTCTTTTCCAGTTAGATAGGGTAGAGAGGGGTGCAACAACGAGATAAGGACCAGAAACCCCACGCTCGATTAGACTAGCTAGTAAACCTATAGTTTGAATAGTTTTTCCAAGTCCCATCTCATCGGCCAGTATCCCGTTCATTCCTGAAGAATGTTCATTTTGATGATTTGTTTACACAGTTATTTTGGTGAACACAAACTACCGCAGAAAATATCTTCATGTTTTGTAATTGTATGTGCTTACTGTTCACTAAATAATAGCTTAATTCTATCGCACTTGTATTATTGTGCTAAGTGCTTCTGTTCGGGTACTACATCTTTAAATCCCGGAAACGGGGTTTTACCGAACGTGGTAAGTCGTAACACGGCTCGACATAAATAAGTAAAAGCTAAAAACAACTCTGACCGTTCTCGTAGAGGGATGTGATCCAGTTGACACCATAGAGCTGATAATCCCTCAGGACTGCTCCTGTGATCAGAGCTGGTTGAAGTAGTTTCGCCACTTCCTCCTTTCTCTCCGTCTCTTGACTACTTGTCCCTACACTATCACCCTGCTCGTTAATGCGCTGTCTTTTGAGCAGCTCCTGGAATATAAATAGTGGTGATATATCATACGGAGCTAGTTTCTATAACCTGTCGAGTTGAAACAGATATATAGAGACATTAATATTTAACTTTTTTCCGAAAATAAACTTCTTTAGCAAAGCTGAAAATAATGTAAATACCTGTTTATCAATAACATCAGAGACAGTTGTCTTTTTGCGCTTGCTATTTCTTCTTCCCCTAGTGCTAGTAGCACTCTTCTCCACCTGCTTCTTCACTTTCTCCTCTTGCTTAGCTTTCACAGCCTCCTCTGCCTTTAACCTATCTAATAAGAAGCCTGTGTATATTGAACTTTTTTCTAGCAAATGCATGAGCTGGTCGTATCTTCGGTCTTTATTCATTTCTGATATCTGAGATACAGCCTGAAATTGGAGATATATATGTCAATGCTAAAATTATTATAATAACATTTAATTGGTTCATAATTCATAAATCCCTTCAAATTTCAAAGATTTTGTCAGTAAGATTTTAGTCAGTCCCTCAGAAGGAATGGTGTACCTCATCTCTAATTTTGTTATCTTCTGCAATTTGCTGCTCCTGTTTCTTCATGTCAACAGCGTCTAACTTCAACCCTTCACCATCATCACCATCATTCCCAACTGGATCCTCTGGAACATCTTTTTTCTCAACTGAATCCTGGTTGATTCCATCTTCCTTCTCTTTACCAGAATCTTTACCCTCTCTTGAGAAAGGCATTTCTTCTACAGGTGAATTAGAGCGTGAGGTCGGGGGAGAAAGCAAGTTTTCAGGAACCTGTATAGAGCACTTGGACTTGGGGGAAAGAATTTGCTCTTCTGTTGACACGGAATCACCATTCATCTAAAGAAGTTTCATGTCAAATAAATAAAAACTTGTTTTTAAAATGCTTTATTATTATATTTCTGTACAGAAAGAAAGTTCGAACATTTGCACTGTAGATGCAGCCCCTTTTCGACAAAAGTATAAGATCTGATGGAAACGTGATCTCATCTCTCAATAAAAGGCTTCTGAATGGATCATATAGTCTAAGTTTACATAATCATAACATAATGTAAATGTTTATTTATATTGTAAAGTTATAATGTTGAATAATCTGTCCCAGTCATCCTACCCATCTGATTGTAAAACCTTATATGAAAGCCGTGAAGAAGCCGTGAGATCAGTGAATGAGGAAGAAGAAAGATGGAGAAACTTGAATATCTACGGTGTTAAGGAGACGAAAGAAGGGGAGTGGGAGGACTATTAAACGTTGACATTCTTCCGCCCTTTATCAGTTCAGTTTTTGATGAAGCCGGCTGTGACTTTCCTGACCCGCTGGAGGTATGCAGGATTGGGAACAAAGATCCTGAGAAAACGCGACCAATCAAAGTTCAGTTTGAAAGCTCTAGCGATGTGGTGTGGACATTATACTAAGGAATGCACACAAACCTATAGGATAAGACAAAAGAGCAGAGAAGGTTACACAGTGGACTTGTCAAACAGATGAAAGAACTAGTATAACCTATAAAGCAAGACAATAGCAAGCGTTATTTTATTAGAGACAATAAAGTTAATTGCGTTAGTGAGAGCTAGGGCCTCATCTATACTTGTTATCAGAATTTATGAACTTTTATATGTTATGTTCACATTCTTTATCTACGTGCCGATACTGTTTAGTTTGTTTTACATAGTATGTATTTAAAGTAAGTTGTTTTCAACAAGTTTTTTACGATGCAGGATTTTGTGTGGGGATTTAGGTAGAAGAAAGAACTGTGGCTCATATTTTATTATATTTAGGTCAAGGCATAATACTATATTTAGGTCAGCCATGATTCGTTGAGCTCGCAGGACTGAAAGTCCTTGCAAGGCGGGTCTGGCTTAATTTATAAGTAGGTGCAGGTCGTTTCATTTCTAGGGATAGCAACTTTATTTTGTCTAAAATAAATTGTGTATATTGCTCATTTGGGTGGCCTTCGGGTCTTTCAATCAATATGAGGGCAATGCTATAGATTTATACTTGAATTGTCAGGAATCCCACGCTCAGACAGTAAGCTTATATTATGTTTAACAAAAGAAATTCCATTATATTAGGACGCAAGGACCCCTCGTAAGTCGTACTACGATAAGGCCACAGGGGATCCGAGGTCGAATAAATAAACTTTTTTGGCGGTGGGCAGGCCATGTCCTACGGTCAAGTGTCAATTGGCCATTCCACGTCAACAGAACTGTTTCATTTAGCTGAAAATCGGTAAGAAAAAAGGCATTTGAAAATGTAAACTGAGCTCTACAACATATCTTGCCCTCGGACCCCCACCCCCCAACCCCAACCTGTGGCGGGTGGCCAGGGTACTTAAAGGCTACAAATTTGGCGAATTGTTCAGCTTTATTGAGGTTTTTTTCCCCCTCCAAATTGCCGGCGAGATAATCTGCCCTTTAATTTCTACTATCATTCTTTCCTCATAATTTACTTATTATAATTAGTCACAATTTTATAATTGTTTAAATTTATCTACTACATAATATTACAGTAAAACATTGATTAAATACCCCGCTCCCATTTACCACAAACCTTGATTTACTGTGGGTAATTCCTTTCCCCGAATTCTTCTTCAAAATTTGCGTAAAATTTTTTTCGAAATATCTGACTTTATTTCTAAGAATTTATGATTTTTAAAGAGATAAAGGTATTAATATGACCATGTTATGTTTTATTAATTTTGTGATTATCTTGATGTACTAAATTCGATTAGGCTGGGTAAGTAAAGATATTAAACGTATAATGAAGTCATTGAACAGTTGTTTCTCCGATCGTTGGCAACAGCATCCTATGACAGGGCCCTATGACAGGGCCCAATGATATTGGGTTTGATAAGGATTGGTTCGTGCAGGGTTGCATAAAAAGAAATGCAGCTATCATAGCATTCGTAGAATTTTGATTTGGGGAAACTTTAAAACTTTGTCGTTATTGTCAAATAAAATCCATACTTTCTACAATACGGAAGCTAGATGCTAAAAGAGATTTGAACGAATGAATTAATTTTTCTCGAATAAAGCTTGCATCTCTATTTCTAAGCGGATTTCCAGTCAATTATAATTCAAAGGCTGCAATAATTTTAACAAAGATATGGTCTTATTTATTCAGTACTATTTTTTAACTGATAAGGAATAACATAAGCATGTGTTGCGTTCTTCTCTTTTAACTGTATGCTGTTTGTTGGTAATTTTAGAGCATGATTGACGTGTTTTGTTGGCCAATTTTACTTTATCAGTTGGTTTAATTTTTCTTATCTTATAACGGCTCACTGACCTGACGTTATTATATGTCATTATTTATAATATGACATATATTATTTTATTTATTTATTTAACGTTTCGTGTGATAAAGTTTGGAGAAAGTTAAATAGTACAGTTGTAATGAATTGGAAAGTTCGGTTAAAACTGTATTGTAGTACACTATTTTAGTTCATGGCTCAGTGTTTAGTATGACGTTCAAAGATTTAAAATCACGCTTTGGTATTTAACTGTACATTCCTTTGATTCTTTCGAGCTTCTACTTGTGTCTTTTACGCTGCACATTACTTATATCCGCGTAATGTACGGTGAAGAGGAGGTTATTTTCACAGCCATCTAAACTTATTGAACTATCACTACTCATACTATTACTTCAATCTGATAACATTCCATAGTCAGTCTAATCTAATACGCTGAAATTACCTGCATAGCTTGAATAGTTAATTCAACAGCAAGGCCAAATTTAAGATCAGTTTAGCCTTTGAAAGTTAATAACTACTTTCTTCGTTTTTATTCTTAACCTCGTGAATTTAAAACAAACACTTTGCAAAATCAATTCTTGCAGGGTTGTTGCTATAGGTTATCTCACGGATTCCTGGCCATGGCGGAGGAGCCTGGAGCATGTCTATTTCGACACTGTCAATTTCACGTGACCTGGGGCCTGGCACAGGTTTCAACTTACTAGTAGCAGAGTGAAACACGATTAGTTTCCATTTCAAATAGGGGCATAGGACATAAGGGCGGTACTTTTTTAGAAGGTGTAGCCAGTTCACACCCTGGCTCCATGATACGAATAATTTTATTTAATTCTAGATGATAAGATCAAATATAATCTTTTCTTTATAATTTATGAATAAAAATATAATTAATAATCGGATATAATAAGTAATTACCATGATAATGGGCGCCATATCTAATAACGTTTACTAATGTTTATTGTTCAATAATTTTGTAATAACTGTGTTACAGTCGATCCTACATATTATACTGTGCCTTTTTATACGTTAAAATTGTCAAGATGCACTTTGCGGTTGTAGCTAGAGTGTTATATTTCCATTTTGTGGTTTCAGTAAAATACAGAAGCACCTGTCACTTAGGCGATAGGGATTAAGTGAAATGTTAAGTGAAATGTTAAGCGATAGCTGAGATTATTGTTTAAATTTGGTCTTATATCAGCTTATATTAGCTCGTGTAGATCGTTCTAATAATTATTACGGTATCGTTCTCATATTATTTAGACATTTTGCTCTGTAGGACTAGGACTATCGAGACAAATTGCATACCTAGATGATTTCGATGCAGAATGACTATACTAAGGACCTTGTGTTGTCAAAAGTTGTGTATACGAAGTGCATACTCAACTCCACTCTGTACCACTCACTCTGCATTCTCAACTCCACTCTGCATACTCAACTCCACTCTGCATACTCAACTCCACTCTGCATACTCAACTCCACTCTGCATTCTCAACTCCACTCTGCATACTCAACTCCACTCTGCATACTCGACTCTGCTACTAGATAAGAGTAATTGTAGCATGATATATTCGTAAATTATAATTCTTCAGAAGTAATTATCACTTCCTTCAGAAATAAAGATCACTTGTTCCTTGTAAGATTCAGCAAGCTAGGTTTCCTCATTTTCTGACTATCGTTTAGCTCTAACTGTGGTAAATAAATAAATAAATAAATAAAGTCAATTTTTACAGCACAGCAATATATATCTAAATATCATTTCCTCTGTAATCATAATGTATAAAAAAAGGAGCTTTTCTCTGTGCTGAAGGATGAATCAAGGCATATCATGGTTCTGTTAGCAGGCCACCCTAGTTATGGACAATACATATAATATATAAAATAATTAAATTATAATTTTAAAATTGTGTCAAGATTGAACTAAAACATAACTCAGGGTAAAATAGACGTACTTGGTGGTACTTGTGGTACTTTTACAACGAAAAATACTTAACACAATAAGAAATTATCCAAATTAGCCTATCCAGATTCCAGATGGAGGAGATGAAAGTCAGACCACTCCGCAAGAGAGCTATCCTGACTCTATTTATACCTCTGACTATGTCAGCTGCATTCCTCAGAATGATACCCCTAGCTACTCTCGTCCCTGGCTCGATGGAAATGAACATGACTTGCACTGAAGTTGCATTCCTGGTGGCCGCCCATCCTTTAGCCACCATACCAGCCACAATGATGTACCCTCTTATAACTGGGTGGAAGTCCAGCATATATATTCTTACTGTCGGGACAATTGGAATGCTGGGATTTTCTTCATTCACATATGCTCCACTTGCTGGTAGATTGGGATACTTCTATATCGGCCTTATTGGTCGTTCATTGACTGGGGTAGCTGATTCTTTGATGAGCATCAAGATTGGTGTTGGTTGGACTATAATTTTGGACAGTGATCTTGCAAAATCTCCATGGCATGGGAAGTGTTATCTAATTTGGGCAAGGGCATAGGTTGCTACATCGGGACCTTGCTGTGTACTCATTTTGGTTTTCCCGTGACAATGGGCATAACAGGGGTCTCATGGTTTCTACTCTCAGTGCTGTTTGCCTTAATTTATCCTCAGAAAGATGAGGAGTTTGTCCCATTGATAAAGGATTCAGGGAGCAAGTGCAAGAAAGAG